GTATACAGGTTGAAGCAGGAGACTCATCCAGGCCTCACCAGCCATGCAACATGGTGGGTGAGCTTGAGTCATTCACCATCACTCAGCCTACCACACAGGATTGATGTGATTATAAAATGGGAAAACCAGGAAAGCCTCCCCGAGTTCCTTGGAGGGGAAGTGAAGAAAATGTAATAGGTTTGTTCTTCATTGTCTTCCACTTCCAGTGGATATTGGCCACTGATGTAGAGGGTGGGGAAGAGAGAGATTCAGACTCTTCTCTCCTGGGTGCTGGTTCTCTGATCCAGTCAACTGCCTGCAGCAATTGCTCCTAAAATCTTGGGAAGTCTGAAGGGGATCTGAATTCCTGCATTTTCCCTTAAGGCAGCCGGGAGTGCCAGATTCCATTTCAGAGAAACTCTCAAAAGCTGCATACCAGAGGAGAGCAGGGCTGAAGGCAAAATGGTCAGGGCCAAAATACCAATGTTTTTAAGCTTAATGTTCTTACTGCCATTAACCAAACCTTAGGAAGAGGCATTTCAACCTTTCTGAATGGGAGAAACGCACAAAAGCTGAGAAACACTCCAAGGATTAGTGGTCAGTTTAAGGAGATGTAGCCTTCTGGGAAACCTTGGAGGGTTAGAGTAAGAAAAAAAAATCACTTTTTATATGTGAAAATCTACATGTCAGATTATGAGATTATTTGTATCCATTTGTGGCAGCATGAAGTGTTTGTACATATTTTCTGGAAATATGTAAGTGGATCTGTGAAGTAGACTTTTGGTTAGTCAAAACTGGACTACATAGAAAGACCTACTAGGTACAGAAAATGTCCAGAAAAGTACCCATGTTTGTCGTCTGCGGCAAACACAACAGAATTATAGCACCTTAAATCAAGGGTGGGAAGCTTGTGGTCATTCTAGTACTTAGGCCTGCGACTCCCATCAGTCCTAGCCAGCACAGCCAATGCTGAGGGATCATGGGAGTAGTTGGCTCAAACATCTGGAGGACTACCAGTTTCTCCCCTCTATTAACCACTGACACACACATTATGGCAAAAGCTTTCATGGGCTGGAATGGAATGTCATAGTAAATGTGTTGGTCTTAAAAGTACAATGAAATCCTTTGTTTAGGCGGTGATGTCTATTATTCAGATACTCAATGTGTAAAGGGAGAGAACAGATGGCTATACTAGGTTTTGCTATGTTTTGTAACTCTTGGTGTTTTCAGACAATGGTTTTATCGGTCCTGTCACAAAGACACAGAACTTTATGGGGAATCCAGACATTGCCACCTACCTTTTGTAAACAACCCATCTTTTCCCCACTGTTCTTTTTAACTTTCTTCTCATGAGAAATTATTCTGTTTAAGATGAAAAAACTGAAAATTGCATAAAGTCTTTTGATTGGTAGTGCTAGGAGCTATCCTCCCAAAAGTACCCTAAGCATTAAGTATGCAGAATAAACTGTTTGTATATAAGAATGTGTACACATGTGTATAAAGTTTTGATAACCAAGAGGAACATTCTGAGATGTATGGGGAAGGAATTTCAAATGACTGTTAAGGCAGTCAGTAGTATAAACACTAGCTGTGCTGTAACAAAATCCCAGAAAAATGAAGCCTCTCCATTAACTGTAATAATTAACACACTAAACAACTAACCTAAACAATCTTCCTCACAACCATTAACTTGACATGAAACAATCTTCCTTGCACAGTATGTTGTAATCAAGAGTAATTGCCTGCCATGTCCTTGGAGAAACAAGAAAGGAAAATCCCTTTGGAAAAAGATCAGCAGACTTTAGATATATATGAGAATTCATTTTTACTCACAAAACATGCAGTCATGTCCTGTTCAGAGCTCCAAATGCCATCATGCATGCGAGTACATGTTTGCTGGAAATATCTGTGAATTGCAGGATGCATTCATCTTCTATTTGTACAAGTGTCCTTGTTCTATATGTGCAAATTTCCCTTGTAGACTCATCCCCTCTTTGGCCTATGGAGGAAACAGTCACACATTCAGTTTGCCCAGTTTCCCCATAGAGTGAGCAGTGACTGCAAACGCAGAGAGAATCAGGCACAAGATGAGTCCAGAGATGACTCGTAGAATCCTGCTGGTCTTGAACATTTCCTATTTGCTCAGCCCTGGCAGACATGATTAAAATGGAAATAAAAAATGAAATCCCACTGCAAGTGCTGATGGATGGCTGGTGTCGGCCTGCAAAAGTCGGCATTTCAATGAGCAAGCCTGCTCCAGCAGCACTATCATTATGGGGCTGGAGTCAGTGAATCGCCCATCGGTACAGCAATTGTGAAGATGTTTGTCACATGAAAACCGAGGAGGAGGCACTTACAGGCTCTCCAGACTACATTACCACCCATCAGTGGTAGTGGATTTCCTTTCTCTGTCCTTTAAAAATACTACATGTTTAAGTTTTTCTAGTGCTTTCTCTTTCCCTTCTGAGCCACAGAGGGGGGAAAAGCATTTTAAAGTATTATCAAAAGCTGCCTTCTGGCCTTGTTGTCTGTTATGCCCTAACCATTTGTGGTTGACAGTGTATCCAGTCAGATACTCAGTGTGTGCTTGTAGAGGGGGATAACTCCACTTGAGTAAATGGAATTTTATGTCAGCAAAAGATCTTCTGCCCCTTAGCTTTTTGTTTAAACAGTTGTTGGTTTATTACACATTTTTAATCACTCCGTTCCATAAAATCATGCAGATTTGGAAGGAATTAAAAGATTGCTCATGCACACAGCTATACCACCCACCCTTCCAGAATCAGTCTGTGCAGTAAGTACAGACTGGGTGCAAAGTAGAAATGTCTCTCTAAAGCAAACAGGTCCAGATAATTCAAGCAAGCAAATGAACCAAGGCATAACAGATTACCCTCCACTACTAGGTAATCTTTCTACAAGGGAGGGAGATTAATTAATTTCTGAATCCAGATACCTTGATCAGTGGAGGAACAAAAATCCATCTATCTGCTTAAGGCTGATTTGCATCTCCTCATAAGGAAGTCTCTGGGGCTTTTGCACGACATCCTGTGGCTCAGAATGAATCCGAAATAGTCGACACCTAACTATGCATTGACATGCTGTGCAAACCCAGCTGCTGGGGGTTATGTGAGGGTTAAACAACATGATGACCCACAGTTGAGGCTTGAATATCTAGGATGGCACCCACAGGCCCCATGGCTTGTCATGACTTAAATAAGGATATGGCATGCAAACCCCCTCTGTGCATATGAGTGGCTTCCTGCCTGTATAAAAGCCTGAGCAAGGGAGCAGAGCAGATTCACCTTAGTAACTAAAGCAGGAAGAAGGAGCTGGGGAGGCTTCTAGGGACTCATGAGGAGGCAAAAAGGAGACCCACCACCACCATACATGGCATTCACAGCAGCAGCTCCAAGCACTTGCAAAGCCGAAACAATCCACTTACTGCAGCAGCAGCTGCTCCTTAGCTATCATTAAACAACATCAGGCACCAACCTAGGGTGCAGAACTGTAGTTCCAGGGGCAAAGCCAGCCTCCCTGGGGTCCCAGTCCAGGGTTCACCAGAGGGTCCTGGCCCCCATCCACCGCCACCTTTTTTCAACCACTGATGGTGGGATGGCTTCCCAGATTTATTGCAGTTTCTCCCCCATTCCAAAAGGTTGAAATGCCTCTCCTAAGGCTTCGTTGTCAGTATTAGGCTCTTAAGCTACAAGATGCTGGGACTTTTTGGTCCCACCACTTTGCCTTTGGCCTCACCACCACTGAAATGCAGCACCTGAGAGCTGCTCCAAATGGAATTTGAGCCCTGCTTGGCTTCTGCTACTGCTCGAATTGAAAATGGTTTGGATGTGCTGGCAGAGACCCCTCCTCTTTTCCTCTTACACACAGAGCAAATCCATAAAGGGGGAAGGCAGTTCCTGAAAAGCTTCTCTGACTCCCCCTGTTCTAGCCACTGGAGTCAGGAGATCAACTCTCTTCTCAGTGAGATTCTTAACCAGGCAGAAGTGGGACCATATATTTGCTCAAAACCCAGCTTTTATGTCCACAAAGTAATCTTGGAATGCAGCTCCACAGCATCCATCATCCTGTCTCCAAAGGTTGAAACAGTCAGGATGTGGGAGGTACAGGATCAGGTCTGTCTATATAGAATAATTTCTCTCTATATCTTTAAGACAGCTGTGGGGTGGAGGGCTCAGAGTTTAATCAGAGCAGTGGTGCTGGCAGAAGAGGTGTTTAAACTCCTTCTCTTGCACTGCTTTCTCAGTCTAAAAAATATTCCATGAAGTGGGTATTAGACTCCAATCAAAAAAGACAAGTAGCTCTATAGCTTTTCAGGGTTGGGGTATATGATTAGGAAACATGCATGAGGGAAGGATTTTTTTAAAACCTGTTCACTGCTGCTCTAATCAGATTAGCATCTGGCTTCTTTGAAGTGATGCACACCTAGAAAGACAGATCTCCTGTTTCAGCTCAAATAGTCCCTGAAGCCCAAGAGAAAGGAGGCTGAGGGGAGGTGGTAAGCACTGCACCTGGAGGATAAAGGTGCATGTCACCACTGGACCAAGATGGAAGTTCTCAGGTGATGCACTGGTGTGGTCTGCCCCAGTTGCTTCTCTCTAGCATTTCAGTGACAAACCTTTTAGCTTTCTGAAGGGTTTCCTCCCAATGCTAATAACAGCATAGGGAGGGTAGTAGGACCATGTTTCCTCTGGACCAGGCTGGCAGGAAAAGGGATTAAGCTCTCCCTCCACACCCTCTGCAGTTCAGATGCTGCTCAGGCTCCCCTTCTCCCTGGCTACTGTTTACGTAACAAAAAGAAATGTGCATATTCCTGCAGTCGAGCAATTAACTCACTGAGCACCAATGTACCTTTCTTGCCCGTGGACATTTGCCTTGCAGCATTTGAACAGAGGCAATGAACCAGGGGGTTCCAAATTTCTGGTGGTCACACATACATTCAAAGCTGAAGCGAGGTGATTCTGCCTCTACTAGCATCTTGACTTTTCCTTCCTTGTCTGCCACAGATGAGCGAGAGCGAGACTTTGATCAGTATGGTGAACAGAATGGTGGAGAGCTCCTCCCCTAGGGCTCAGCTGTACATGCAAGTAAGACATCACAGCAGCTCTGCCATCAACCATGCCATTCCAGCTGCTTTTGCATGGCAGAACCATTCCCAGATTCCCCCTTTCACATCTCACATCTGTGTCCACCAGCGAGATGCCCAGTCAACATTTCATCTGACAGTAACTTTTGTGCATGGAGGCCTACAAGGAGTCCATGTCTCAGTGTGCTGGTGATTCTTTGAAATGTTTCACATCTTTTCCTACTGTTTGGAAAAATGCAAATATCCAGATCTTAATCCTAGTGCTGTGTCATTCCATACCCAACTTCTTTTCTTTCTCCTTATTCTCTGCATAGACATGTGAGAAGCCTGGGTTGGAACCTAAACCCTTTACCAGTTACTTGTCACACTGTTTTGTGCTAAGGGAGATATTTTACAGCTTGATGCCATTATTATATTTGCACACATTTACTGCATGTCTTGTAAATGGCTAGATGTTAGCCTTAGCTTCTATTATTAACCATCTACTAACCTGTAATCCTTTCAAGGCTTTGAGTCAGATTTTGAACTCAAGGTTCCTTACCCTTGAAATATGTTGACACTGATTTTTGTGCTGTATCCCTTGCTGAAGAAAGAGGTCTGGGAAAATATGGGTTACTTGTGACTTTCCAGATGTTTTGGTCTGCATCATTCCTCTCCTTTGCTATGCCAGCTAGAGCTGACAGGAGTAGAAGGAGGGCCACAAGTTGCCCACCCCTGATCTAGGGTGCCTGTGTGTCTTGTGTTACCGTGAACAGTCCTCTCTTTGAAAGGTTGTCAAATCCAACTGCAGTTTATAGGAAAAGGAAAAGCAAGGACCTAAAAGTTGTCCATTAGTTGTTATCACCTGGACAATAGTCTGGCCAATCTTCAGGGGTGGGCTCACATGTCACACCAGCCCACATATGTGCATATGTCTCTGGGGGTGGGGGAGACCTTGGGGAACCCTGTTAGAAGACCCTCCTTTTACAAGGAGCTTGTGTTTTGTCAGATGGTTCCATGCTCCAGTAAAGAGGGATAGGCTGCCCCCACCCCCATCTTCCTCAGCACCTGAAGGTGGAAAAGTTGGGAACATTGGGACTTATCAGCGGAATACAAGACAGATACACCCAGGATCCTTGTGACAATGGAGAATGAACCCCTTTGCCTCCTTTCTACCAGAGGAAACTACTCACATCCTTGCTTTCAATTAATGGCTCACCTTTTTATAAATGTCAAAACAAAATTAAGTTCCAAAAGGGAGGGGAGACCCTACTGGGGGCCTCTCTTGGTCAGTGTCTATGACCTGGTGCACTTTCCTGGCAAGGCTTCCCAATTTTCACTCCCATGGAATTGCACATACCTGCACCTCTAGAATTGCACAAGTCCAGCTAAAAACTAGGCCAAATGCATGCCAAATAAGCTTGAATCCTGTTTCAGGATTCTACCAGCAAAACAGAAACCACTGGTAGAAGGGATTTCCTCTTTCCCCTCCAATTCCTGGAGCATGGCCCAAATCTGCTCTTGTAAATTAATGAATCCTTTGGAGAAGGTTTGGGGTCCACTGGGGGTGGGGCTACAGAGGGAAATTGAGGACAGACAGGGCAGAGAAGTTGGATTTAAGCCCATGGATTACCAAAGCAGGAGGAACTCTGTATTCCTGACAGGCTTGTCATTGCTCATATTATACATAAGAATTCATGTCCATTATATGTTTATAAGAACTGCATCCCATTGCAACCACCAGCCATTCTGCCTCAAAAGCACCATAGCCTTTATCACAGAAATGCCATTTCTGATTAATTTGCTACTCATTATATTTCTAAAGTGGACTGCAGTAGAACACTGCTAATCATTAATGGTTTGAAGGGGTCTTTGGATAAGTTTGACATTAGCTCAGCACTAGTTTAATCGTATAAGAAAAAGGATTCTCTCTATTTGATAGAACTTCCTAGCTGCTATCCCCACCTGGGGCTTTGTGCACAGTGCTTGCTAGTCAGAGTTTTAGCATCACCTAGGGCAAAACTATAGCCTTAAGGAATCAGAAAATACCAGCCAGGACAAGGGGAAAACCAGAATGAGAAAAATCAGGCTTATAAGAAAAGACACCCAGAATTAGAATAACTGCCAGTCTACTTCTTGCCAGGCCCTAGGGAGCAAACAAGGCTCCTTTGCACCTCAGTCTCTCTTCTTTCTCTCTCTCCTCCCTATTTCATACTAATGCAATGAGAGAGAGAGAGAGAGAGAGAATTTACTGGCAAAGTAGATCCCAAATAGGTATTTTTCATGCTTGCTTGATAATGATGAATCCTGGTCTATAGCTGTAAAGTCTGCCAAAAAGAAAAAAAAGTATCTTCTGTATAGGAAAAAATGGTTCAGCTGTTGCCAGCAATTTCAATAACCAAATCATGAACTAATCAAAAATAATGTCATATACTATTCAGATTGGATGAAGATTTGATTAACATTTAGATGTTATCCCAGCTGCATTTCCAACAGTTTGTCTCTGCTAGGAAACATGGCACCCAGTAAAAACTTACCCAAATAAAGGCTTACATAAGACTTCCCATGCATAACACTGAAAAAAGACTGAATAGGTCATCTTTGACTGCTGACTTTTTGCTAAGGAGTTATCAAGAACAATATGCGGCAAAGATTGTTGTTTCTCCTAACCTACACAAAAACACAGGAAGCTGCCTTATCCTAAGTGAGATATTTGCCCATCTTGCTCGGTCCTTCTGCCTATACCAGGGTTGGGCATCTTGTGGTGCTCCAGATGTTTTTGCATACAACTTGCACCATCCTTCACCCTTGGCTATGCTGGCTAAGGCTGAGGGGAAATACAAACCAAAACATGTGGAAGGCTGCAAGTTTCTCACCCCTGATCTAAACTGACACGCAGTGAAGCTACGGGACTTCAAACAACCTCCAGGGTTTCCCAGCCCTACCTAAAGATGCTGGGGATTGAATATGGGATCCTGTGCATGAAATGCATATACTTCAATGCTGACCTGTGGTCCTTACCCTGAACCACAATTTTATAAGTAATGGAAGGTGACGTCTGTAGCATGACTCCGTATGGTCCTGGACAAGGATTTTTCCATATCAGCTTGTAATTGCATTAGAGAAGTACCCACTGATCAGTTCCTGCCCTGCAGATGTTAAGCACAGATTTGCTCCTGTTATATTATCATACCTTGGTGGTTTGCTTGATAACGATAAACTCAGGTTCTGATGTGGTGCCCTTTTTCTGTGCTGCATTGAATCAATGCTAATCAGTGCTCTCCTGTGATATTCGTGCACCCCGTTTTGGTAAGTAAGTACTGCTGGCTATGTCACTGTTCCAGAGGGTCTTGGTGCCATTTGGTTTGCAAAGTTCACACCAATGCTAGTGGTCTAGCACAGCCACCTTGGACCTGGCTTTCTCTCTGCATTACTTTACCCGTGTGTTTGAAGGATGGTTGCTAATACACTGGGAAAGCTGGACACAGAGTGAAGAACTTCAAATCACACCACTGCTTGGCTGCATTGCCCTGTGTATGTGCACCTTTGGAGTTCAGCTCAGCAAATTATCTGAGAATAGAACCCGGGACCATCTGAATACACGCAGCCAAATAAAGGGTCTATCACTGTGGTTGTAAACAATATCTGACCCTTCTCTGCTCTCATTCAAGTTGCACTCCAGCTCAAGCTTCTTCCAAAGGAGGTCTGCCAGCTGGCCTCTCAGTTTCCTGGTGATGGGCCACTGGCTGTTCATCAACCACCCTCTTATGGCAATATTCTAGAAGATGCACAGGCAATCAGATATCCGCAGATGTTATGGCTACAACTCCCACAGTCCCTGACCATCAGCCATGCTGACTGGGACTTACAGGGCTTTTAGTCCAATGGCCTTTGGTGTCCTAGCCTTTGACTCCTGTCTGGCTTGCCAAGACCTGCACCCAAGAAGCTCAATGCACTGCACATGCATAAGAGCCAGGGCTGTTAGGTCCACACCACCCAACGCAAATGCTTCTGGGTCTTGGGTGCTACATACTAGCTTTGTATATCTATTAATGCACTGTGTATGTTAGTAGATTACATGGCGCAGCTTTCTGCACTGAAACAATAGTCACAATTTTGGCAGCTCTCCTTTGCATTAACCAGAATTTGAACGTGGGAGAGCTGAGAAGAGGTTGCATCTTTGAATCTCACAATTGCAGTTGCTGTGATTGTGAATGGAAGCTGCTATTTATAGCACATCTGGCTGTGTGCAATTGCCTGGTGAGCTGTAATGGTGGCTGCATGTCTAACATGCATGTACAATAGCACTGCTGATTTGTTCATCAATCTGAGCAGTCATCTTTAAAAAAAATAATAAATCCCAGAAACATCTTATTTGTTATAAGCTTGATGATCCCCTATTCTGGAGCAGATATCAAAAAAGCAATTTTCTCACTGCATTGTGTGGAAGAGCTGCCTCTTTTGATGAGATCAAAGATGGCTGGTTTTAAAAGGCAGGACGCTCCTGCATTGAATAGAGCCTTGGAAACTGTGGAATAGAAACCCTTATCTGTGTGACTGAAATGCAAGGCAATGTCTGTCTTACCCTTCATTTATCGTATCTGGTAACTGTGGACTGAGAGAAAGAATTAGTGGAAGGAGCTTGAACTGTAGCCTTTGTGGGGACAACTTCGTGGGATTTTGCTCCCCCGTTTTTAAAAAATCCATTAAGCAGAAACAGCCTTGGATTTCCACAGGGCTGTTGTCCTAGCACATTAACTTCAAGCAGGAAAGAGCAGCAATGATTTATTCCTGTTTTTGCAGGTGTCTCATTTCCCTGAACCCTACAGAGAGACAATGCACACCTACAAGATAAGCGAGCAAGAAACGGATGTAAGAATGCCACTCCCTCACTGCTGCCTGTCTGCCCTCTCCACTTCCCCTCCTGCTGTCACCTCTCCATCCTCCACTCCTTGGAGGTTATGCCTTTATTTTCCATTTCTCTCCAATCTCATTAGATGAGCCTCTTATCTGCTAGCGGAGCTGCAAGGTCTCAAGTGCTCCTGGTCACCATCATCGATCTGCCAGTCCTGTGCTGCCTCTTTTCCTGTTGCATCTTTCCCTCGTACTCAATGTGTGTGTTTTCATGCTGGTGTGTTTGTGAGTCTCCCCTGCTTGGATTGTCACATATCAGTAGCCAAATGATCGGTCTTCCTGGTGGGGGCCTGGATGATTTCCAAAGAAATGGAGAACTGCTGCGTATACATATATTGGTGGACCTCTATGCTGTGAACCTCATATTTCACATTTCATTTCTTTCTTTACTCCATGACAGAAGCTCCTAGGAAAGCTTTGTGAGCAAAACAAAGTGATGAGGGAGCAAGAAAGGCTTGTGCAACAACTTCGAGCTGAGAAGGTAAGGGGCATGAATTGCAGAACTACCTAACTGTATAGACAAGCTGCTTTGTACTCTCTTGAATGGGCTTAGTTTTCTAGAGGTTTTCTGAGGCTGGAAAACCATTGCATAACTTTAAAAAATCCATTTACTAGATGGTGACTGCCATGAAGAGGTTGTCATCTTCGAGGTGAATATTTCCAGTTCCCCTGAAATTAGGAGATGAAGCTGTTAAAATGCATTTTGTTGGGGACGGCCTGACCATAATGCAGTGTGAGGAACCCCTCTCAGGCAGCAGACGCTTGGGAGGGGACAGCCAGGTGTCGGAGGACAAGGCACTGTGTGTCACTTGGCTCACTATCTTCTGGTGCCATGACAGATGCTATGCCATCACTGGTGTTGAAGTAAGATTTGGCAGTCAGTCTAGCTGGCAACTATGCACGAATGGGACAAGGCCATCTTGTCCTTTACCTCCTGGACTGGTCCTAGACTTGAGACAATATCTTCATGCAGCACCAGACCCCTTCTTTCCAACCCATGACACATTGTGTTGTTTTGTACTCTTTGTTTTGTTCTTTTTGAATCCTGTGATAGAGGGCTTCATCACATCTGTGCGGCTGAACAAACTCAGCTCTATCCACTCATGGCCTTTTTAACTATCCACCCCACTGCATGATCATACCTCTATTTATTGACTTTTCCTGACTTGACTTTGAACATGTTCGAAGAGGATAGAGGATGATCCTACAGGAGAAATGAGACCACAGAAGACTAAATGCCCAAGGTTACAAACGGAATCTGAAACAGAGTACAGAAATGAATCCAAGTCATTTTAGTTTGTCTCCTGCTGACCAGCATTAAAGATATATTGGTGTTGGTGATGACCTATAAAGCCCTAAACGGCTTGGGTCCTGGTTACCTGAAGGAGCGCTTACATCCATATATGCCCAGCCGCCCCCTGAGATCAGCGTGAGAGGCCCTCCTCCGGGAGCCCTCAGTGAAGGAAATTAGGAGGGTGGCTACTCGGAGGAGGGCTTTCTCAGCGGTGGCGCCTAAGTTATGGAATGCGCTCCCCAGAGAGGTCCGCCTGGCGCCGTCGTTATTTGTTTTTCGGCGCCAGGCGAAGACCTTTTTATTTATGCAGCATTTTAAATGTTAATACTATTGAATTTTATTTGGCCAGGGCGGCTTATTTTATTCTAATGTATATGTTTTAATTGTTATTGTTTTAATTTATTGTGTATTTTATTGTATGTTGTGAGCCGCCCCGAGGCTTCGGCAAGGGGCGGCATAGAAATGTTTTAATAAATAAAATAAATAAATAAACAAATAAATAAATAAATATGCTATTTCCATGGTATTTCAGGAAAGCCTAGAGAGTGCACTGATGGGGACACACCAAGAGCTAGAAATGTTTGGAAGCCAGCCAGCTTACCCTGAAAAATTGCTGCACAAGAAGGAATCGCTCCAGAATCAGCTGATCAATATTCGGGTGGAGCTGTCCCAAGCCAGCACGGTAATCGCATGATCTTTCAGTACCCCAGTCCTCTACCAGCTTCACTGGCTTCCCATCGAAGTCCAGGCTCAATTCAGGGTGTTGGTAATCACTTGTAAAGCCCTTAACGGCTTGGGACCCGGATACCTAAAGGAACGCCTGAGGCCATATTTGCCCTCCCGCCCCTTGAGATCGGCAGCAGAGGCTCTCCTCCGGGAGCCTTCCGTGAGAGACATCAGGAAGCAAAGTACCCGGAGGAGGACTTTCTCTGCGGTGGCGCCCCATCTGTGGAATGCGCTCCCCAGAGAGGTCTGCCTGGCACCGTCATTACTTGCTTTTCGGCACCAGGCCAAGACCTTTTTATTCAAACCGTATTTTAATAATGTTTAATATTTATATATTTTAATTGTGCAGCCAGTGTGTTTCCAGGTTTTAATTGTAATTGTAATTGTTTTATTTATTTATTTCTGTGAGCTGTCCCGAGGCTATGTAGCAAGGGGATGGCATATAAAAACTTTAAATAAATAAATAAATAAATAAATACTCCCCTTGCTTACTTTCATAAAGATTTCAGAAATTACACAGGGAACTTCATGGATCAAGAAAAAATGTGTAAGATGTGGGGCGGGGGAAGGGGAGAGCAATGCAGGCATATTTGTCCCCTGTTGATTATATAGCTTTGACCCATTCGGACATGGACTCCCATGTTGAGCTCTGTCCAGTAAACATTGTTTCTAAATTGAGCAGAATAGCACAATCTAGCCTTTGGTCTGTGTCCAGCCTGTATGGAAGAATTCATGCAAGCGTGAACTACTTGGCTATGCTTGTTTGTCCATTAGCCTCTTGATGCACGAAAGTCATGGCAATTTGGACTAAGCCTGTTTTTTTCATGAATACAGCAAAGGGAACATATGCAGAAGTTTTGCTGGTCATTCATGCACACTGAAGGAGCTCTTAGGAGACAGCTATTTTTATCAATGTCCATTTCTCCTCTTAGGCAAGGTTTTTCTCAGCACTGTGCAGTATACCCAGGCTGAGTTGTTATCCAAATGGAGAGTTTGATAGTTACTATTTTAATACCAGTTAGTCACTCTGTACTCCAGGGACACAGAGAGATGATTGTGTGTTGATATCTTGATGGGACTGTTTCAAATCCCCACAGGCGCTGGCCAACAGCACCATAGAATATGAAAATCTGGAGGGTGAGGTGTCAACCTTGCATGATGACCTGTGGGAACAGCTGAACTTGGACATCCAGGTGAGACAATGGAGCCTCCGTATTGCCCAACCTAAAGGAAATACTAGCCAATCCAGAGCATGACCAGGCACAAAATTAGGGGCAGGCGTGACATCTTGGGTTGTCAAATGACTTTGTTTATAAGCAAATAGAAACATTCTACCTTGATTCTATTCTTGGTTTGTTGTGAACAAAGAAGAACAAAGAACAACAACATTCTTGGTATGTTGTGAACAATTATGCAGAATTATGAATTCTGCATAATTAAGCCATTATTTGCAGAAGGCAGGTTTGGATGATCCTTAAATCCAAGGGTGGCCATATAAGCACCTGGACTTGATGTCACCAGGCAGGCCAGCTGTGGCTGACTAGTGACTAGGCACAGTGGGGGTCCTCAGGTATTTTTTCCCTTTCTTCCCCCCGTGGTCCTTCAGCCAGTTATCCTGGAAGACGCTGTTCTGGACCACTGAAGGAAGCAGGATGACAGCTGACAAAAGTGGGCACTTTGGACGGGCATCCTCTGCTTCCCTGCCTCATGCTCCTGCCGATGCCAGCAGAGCAGGGTTTCTAAGGAGCAGTCCCCTTCTTATGGAGCATGGGGCAGGGGATCTGGAGTGGGAGGCACGAGCTGCCTAATGCTGGGGTTTGAAGGTGGTGCAGGGTGGCCCATGCCTTCTCCGCCACTCATCGGAGCCACCTCTTGCCTGAGTGGCAGGAAGGCAAGAGCTGGGCTTCAAGGCTATGATGCAGCTCAGCTGTGCTGCAGAAAGGAGGTACAGGCCACCTTGGGTTGGGCTTCCTGGCCCAGCGGGAGGTGATCTGTGCCCCTCTGGCCACCGCGGAGTTGCTCCCTGCCCCCACAATCTGACCTGCAGAGTTACCATTAGTCAGCACCCTGCACATGCAGAATCTCCGCCACCCTCGCCAGCTAGCCAGAACTTCACAAGGCAGGTTGCGAGGGCAGGTGGGAAGGGCCCACTCCTGAGGAAGCAAATCTGAGTGATCCCTCCCCTGCCTCAAACCCCAAGCAGGAGGTGTGGGATATTTGGAATGGACCCCTCTTTGCTGCTTTTGAGGAGGGACTCATCCTTCTTGGTGTGTCCGTGGCTTAGCATGCTGCCCAGGTTCTGCAATAACCCATGGCTACTTTGGATGGGTTATAAAACCACTCTAAGAAAAGCAGGGGACTGTTTCACATATCGTATTAAGCCAGCTCCCCCAGTGACTTAGCATGTTGTGCAAACCCAGTCCATCAGACAGTAGCCAGTAATTCTGACCATTCAGTTGTGCACATTTTAATAGAGTCAAGATTTAGGAAGCATGCAGGAATGTGTACCTACATTCTGTACACTGCTATCACGATCAGCCCACATGCAGAGCTGGCTATTTGCACATGTTATTTACAGGATCTGCATTCAACCTTTCATTGAATTACTGCTGCAAGTCAGGTGCCAAAATAGGTTAAGAGAACATTTCACAGTGGTCTGTCTTGCAGAAGCATCACATTAGCTCCCTCCAAATGTGCAATTAGATAATTTCTTAAATAGCAACTTCCTGCCACATTCTCTACACTTTTTCCCTTCATACTGCTTTCCTCACCTCTTTGCTTTGAGGGTTATCTTGAAGCAAATCTCTCTTTGCGTACTCCAAGATTCATTTCCTTGACCCTCACCCTGCATCTCATTTCAGCAACTTTTGCTGGGTATTTTGGAATCTTTCTTTTTCTTATGCTGTCTTGTACTTGAAAGCAGCCAAAGCAGTTCTGCAGCAACACCATGTGTGGTCAGTCGCCAGCTTTCCGCTCCATTTTAAGTCTTGTTATTGCCAAATTCTCTACTTCAGAGGTAGGTGCAAAGAAAATGGCCAGTGCTGTGCTGTGTGCTGCTGATAAGGCAGAAGCACCTTCACAGTATTGCTTAGTTAGACTCAGGACTAAAACAGACATCACTTTAATTGTGCCTAGCAACCATGTTGTTTAATTATTGTTTTGCTCTAGAGTAGGGACAGTGTTGCTTCTTCTGGATCATATTCCTAGCTCTGGGCTTGGGGGAGCTTTTAAGGTGCTGGATCACCCATCCTAAACCGAACATGAAGTGGAAGGAGAGGTAGTTGGTAGACACATTTTTAAAGTAATGTCTGTTTTAGGAACCATAATAGCAGGGTGCAAACATTCATCCATGACAAGTTCCCAGCTCTCCTGCCAAATGGCTCTGTCTGCAGACATGCTGAAAAGGCAGCCTGTGAGATGTGGAAGGCATGGAATTAAAAATTTGGGCCAGAACCTGTCCCTGGTGGCTTGCATTATGGATAAGTGGCCTGAATGCTGAGGACAAAGAATACTGCTGGAGCTGTCATGTGCCAGATAGAGTAGCAATGCCTCATCTTTGCTTTCCTTCCTATGTAGATGGCATTTGACCTTCTTGTTGCCCTGATGAACAAAGACTTTGTCTTCCTTGGTTGCTATGAACCCCACTCTCAGACTCCATGCATTTAAGCACCACCCAGGTCTCAGTGAATCCTGATATGTGTGTGTGTATTTAGTGGGAAAAACAACTGTTTTCTTTGAGTTAATTTGCAAAGATGAACCAGACTTTAGCAACTTGCTCTTAACCTCATGTTGTTCATCCACACACATGAAGAAATAGTGAGAAAAGTGTCAGATGAGTCAGTGGACATTCTTTTGGTCCTTGCCTGAAAGGTAGACTGTTTTTTCGTCCATGTTTCTGCCTTATACGCAGAGGTGTGCTAGCACATTTTGAAGTGCGGGCACTCATTAAGACAGTTCCTATAGCTAGCACCTCCCTCCCCTCTGAGATCCCTCTTAGACAGTCCATTCCAGCAGTGTCCATCTTCACCAGGATCCGATACTTTGTAAAGCTAGGGAGTTTCAGCTGTTGAATCAAGATCAGCCCACCCCGAAGTACTTTGTACTACCGCAGAGAACAATATACCATTGCTGGGAAAAATCATTTCCCTGCAGCTACTGCAAATGTCACAGCTAAGCTTAGAGTGAAATGAGAAGCCTGAGTAGGAGTGACAGCAACAGCCTCCCTCTTAATAAAAAAGGTGCCAGCAGTGCATCCCTGTGAGCCCTGACTCCACTACATCTCCATGTACAAGGTCCTAGCACACCAAACGCTCTGCTCGCTGCTAGTGCAAGCTGCAGATGGGGACTGGTGCGTACAGTTTGCACGGCTGGCTTTCTACACTCTTTGCAGAAGCATCTCAGGGGAAAATTTTTTCCTTGATGTGGGCCATGTTCCTACCAGGGTGCTGCAGCACAGAACCGGGAGTGTAGAACAAGGCTGTCTGAACGAACACTTAAGGCAAGCATAGCTGCATCCAGGCATGCACAAAATAAACTGACTCCCATCACGCATTCATACACTCACCATCACCACCAGATGTTCTTCCCAAAGCCTGCAAGGCTAGCAGACATCTGCTACAAGTCTTCTCCCTGAAGTGCTATCTTTTCATGGGGATTCCAGCAGCACTGGAGCAAAGGAAGGGCTCTGATTGATTATACCATGGTGCATACTGATGCATGGAACACCAAAATCAGTGATACTATTGTAGCAAATCTCATGGCAAAAGCTTTGTGGTATCACTTCTTATAAATCATACCGGTGAACCAAAAGCTATAGCTGCTTGCTTAGTTCAAGAAACAGCTCAAGGCTAATAACTACAATCATGACAGCTGTCAGTCCAATGACCGTTTCCAAATCAGGATCTTTGAGGTTCAAAATTCTAAGCAAGGTCAAGATTTGTGATAAATCCAAACATGCCACGCATTTCAAGATATGGTTCAAGAGCAAGTTACAAAACTGGAATTTACATATACAGGCAGTCCAAAAATAGATCCCACATCAGAATTTCTACAGCATGAGTGTCAAGGCAGAACAAAGACCAGCAGTCACAATACATCCAGGCAAGGAAGCATTATGGATTTTTAAGATGTCTAAGTAACAGTTCTATGGTGGGCAAAAAATCTCAAGGTCATAATTTATGATAAATCCTGGAAAGTCAGTATCTTGGGCTATTTACAGAACAATCGATCTAGACATGGGAGATTCTGTTGAGCCCCAGGATTATAGAGATTTCCATGAAGGGCCTCTAGGATCCATCTGGTAGGCAGACTAAGTCCAAGATTTAGGGTACTTCCAAGCAGGTTCTCAACCATAAAATTTTAAACAGACATGGCTCCCAAACTGATGGACAATTCAAGTGAGGAGCATGTCGAGCAGCTCAGATGATGGAAAGTTCAGGGAGATAAGATGGATATTCCCATCAGAGTCTCTGTAGGTTCTGCTGTGGCTTAAATGTTAGGGAGGATCTATGAGAAACCCACTTCACTGTTTGAACCAGCTTATGACCCAAGCTTAAAACTATTATATGCTTTCAAGTAAAGGTAGAATTTATTTCACTGAAACTTATTCTAAGAATGGTGTGAAAGCTGGGCAGTAAAGAATGCTGATGGGAAGAAAATGGATGCATTTGATACATGGTGCTAGAGGAGAGCTTTGTGAATATCCTGGACCAACAAAAATGCAAACAAATAGATCCAAGATCAAATCAAGCCAGAACTTTTCCTAGAAGCAAAAATGGCAAAACTGAGGGTGTCATGTTTTGGAAGCATCATGAGAAGGCAAGATACTCTGGAGAAGACAATCATGCTAAGAAAGTTGAAGAAGAAAGAAGAAAAGAAAGGCCAAATAAAAGATGGATTGAATCCATAAAGGAAGCTACAGCCTTGAATTTAGACCAGCTAAATGACCAGGGATGGATAGGGCATTTGGAGGGGATTTCATCCATAGTGTCATCAAAGTTAGAGATGTCACAATGTCACATAACAAGTCCAAACTTGACATGATGGTTAGAGAACTATGATTGGCTCTCCTGGGGATCATTCTTTTTTTCTACTGTTATTTTATTTTTAAACTGTTCTACTTTTTCCTTTATAAGAACATAAAGCAAACCATTTGAAATGATTCACATTCAAGTACTTGTAGCATGAAAGCCCAATTCCCACATAGAGCTCTTCACTATATCTTAGCCTGATTGGACATGGAAATTGGTTCATTTCTTTAATGCCAGATGGTTCTATCCCAGAATGTAACAGGTGGGAACAGCAATGGCAAGGAGGGAGTACACTTGACCTAGAATGGAGATGGGTCTCTAGAAAGTATGCATTGCTTGCACTTTCATTCCACAGCACAAGTGCATCCAGCATCTGCTCTAAAGTACCATAAATATCCAGTCAAGGACATCTGAGTGGCTTTTTCAAATGGAGTGCTTGCTATTTCCTGATGGAACTAATTGATCATAAAGAAAGAAGGAGAAAGCTTTGCCCATGCTTGACTTGGAAGGATGATGTGCTCAGTCTGTCCTCATGTTCTAAATGTTGATAAGGGTGTGCTTGTATGTACTCGTGTTCACTGAGTAATTGCAGTGATATTTAACTCCCATGGTTGCTGTTTTATTTCTGGTGCTAAAGGATTGCTGCACACACACATTTCCAATCTGGTTCATCATCTTGATTTGCCCTAGTGCCTGCGTGCCTGAATGGAACTGTAAGAATAAAATGTTTCTGGCTGAGAGTTTGAGGAGGGGATACCTCCTAGGTGTACTGAGACTTAAACTTGAGCAAACAGAACAGCTTCATCTGTGCATGGATTTTCTTTTGTGTACAGTGGAGCACAAAAATATTCCCTGTGTTTTGTCCCCTGTGTTAGGAAAGATCTATAGGGCGGGTTCTACTTTGTACTAAAAATAGTGGTGGGAAGGAATCTAATTTCCAAGCATAAAATTAATCATGCAAATGAGTAGCAGTTTATGCAAGCAAATATATTTTGCATAAACTGTCACTGTTACTAGGACTCTGAGGTTTTTTGTGAAGTTTGACATATGGGCAGAAATGGTGATATGGCAGGAAAGAAGATATAGGTAGTTGAAAGTATGGGTAGTGATATGTGACTGGAAGTCCTGATGAAGGGGCAAGATTAACCTTTCAGGTCGTAAAAACGCTGTCTTCTTAATACTGCTGTTACATATACATACTGTCTGCTAACAAGTCCACATTATTTCCACATCCTGGACTAGAAACTAAGAATGGGGGAAATTGTTTGATTCACCTTTTAATGTGGACTCACCTTCCCTAACCAATGCATGAACTGAAAAGCAGTTATACATCAATATTTGCATTCTTCCAGTGCAATTTGCAAACAGTGCATACAAAAATATTAGTTAAGTTCACTCAAGAATTAGGGCAAAGATGCACAACTCAAGCCACTCATGCATTTAAAAATAATAATAATTCAGCAGGGATGCATCACCACGTTAATCATGAGAAAGGGAAAATATACATTTTAGTACTTCAGTCTCTGCCAAAAGAAAATGCACATTTTTTCTCTGGACGCTGCACTGCCATGCGCCCTTTACCCATCCTCCCTCTTTTTCCCTCTTTGTGCCACACTCCTTTCTTCTCCCTTACTGCACATTTGAACCCCTGTCTGTTAACTCATCTTTCCTAGTTTTTCCAACCAACAGCTCTCTCTTAAACCATCTCTTCTTGCAAGGCTCTCTTTCTGCTCTTCCCTCTGAAATGGAGAGTAGAGGTGAGAAACAGATGCTTAACAGGTGCTTAACTTTCTGTTGCAATAACTCTTCTCCAGTGTCTTTTCTACTGTAGAATGTTTAAATAAAATTTAGGGAAGCACAGGCTTTACTGAGCCAAGATAAGGACTAGTTCATTTAAATGCTACCCTTTTTGTTGCTTTGCTCTTCCAGAACGAAATGCTCAACCGGCAAATCCAAAAGGAAATCTGGCGTATCCAGGATGTGATGGAAGGGCTAAGAAAGAACAACCCATCTCGGGGCACAGACACTGCAAAGCACAGAGGTAAATGCCACCTGTTTTATTTTCAGGCTTTTTGTACGTCTTATCTATAGGCTAGGATACTGTTGCCTGAATGTCTGCCACTCCTTCCTATAATTTGTTATCTACCATCTGAAAACATGTGCTTGTTTCTCCTCTTTTCCTGCTGCAACCAGTGTTGGAGGACCATTCACTGCAATCTGATGCCACAGCTTAAGGATTGCCCCTTTATCCAGAAATCACCCAGATTTTGGATATGCCATGTAGCTTCTGAATTACATAAAGAGCACAATAACAAAACTGGCTTGGATTTTGAAGGAGAGGAACAACAAAGAGATTGCTTTGCGATGCACATACTTACATGATTCTTTTCAGTTTGCATTTGTAATTTCAGAAAGCGCACTATCAAAAACATTGCAATTATGTATCTATTTCTTGAAATGAATTGCTTTCTGTGCTGCTCACCCCAGGATCCCTGCAAATCAGGGAAACTGCCTCTAGTCCTAAGGACATTTTTTGTGATATTTAGCCATGTTTTAAGAAATCTGCATAAAGAAATGTTGACTTCCTTTGCTGTGGCTCTGCACATCCTCACATCTTAGCAATATGATGGAATTTGGGCTCAGTCACTAAAATCAAAGTGCATCTTTTTTGCCCTAAAGTAACCTGTATCTGGAGGCCAGAAATACTGCTTGCCCTGCTTCTCAGGGCAGTCAAAATCTATCTATTTCAACAGGCATTTGGTTTTTCTCTGAATGCTCTGAGGCTTCTTTGATAGTGCTGTTGCTATTTCTACTTTTTGGAAACAATGTTTCTTACGTCTGTTTTAATTATTTTAATTAAACATGTTATAGTGTATCACTATACTGTATAATCGGCTTTGAATGCTTTATCTGAAATATCAGGGAAAAGATCTGTCGGAGTTCCATTTTGCTAGCATACTAATTGCCACTTTGTACTCCTGTTCATTCCCTTGGATGTGTCAGAGCTCCTTTTAAAGCCATCTAATCACTTGTGACCATCTCCATACCGTGTGGCAGTGGGGCCCATAAATTAAATATGGATTGTGTGGAGGTATTTTTCTTAGGGGTTCTATCCAAGTGTGATGGCCATCAGTGGAACTGGGAGGGGGCCAGCTGCCTTCTCCCTGCCTTACTCCCTGCACCCCACCCCATGCTCCCAGAATCTGCACTAGAGCGCTGAAAAACCATCCAAAGCAATTTTGGAGTCCACACAGAACTGTCAAACCAGCAGACTTGCTGTAGTATGATGGCGAATTTGACCACTTTGCCTGTCCTAAATCTGTTGCCAGTCTGTATTTGGGCTCTAAGTTGTGTGTCCACTTTATCTGTGCTATGAATAGCTATATAAATCTCTCTTATCACCGTGCCTGTTCCCTCATCTTTATTGTTCTTTTTTTCTGAACAAAAATCCCCACAGATTCTTTCCACAGGTTGTCATGTTGGTTGCCCTTTTTGTGTCTTTTCAAGGCCTTCCATATCTCCTTTGAGATGTGGTTGCAGCAGGCTGAGGGGTGCAGGAGGTCGCCAAAACTGTGGACACTGTTCCAAATATAATTGTGCATTTCTTGAATATGTAGGTTTCCCTCTGTCTCCTTCAGGCCAATTCCCATGATTTTTTCTTTTCACATAACTATGTATACTTAAGCATACAATTCCCTTCACTTATCCACATAAGAAAGATGTCATAAGTGCATGACCCTCCATAAAAGTTTGAAGATTCCTATTTCCAGTGGAGATGTTGCAGAAGGGCATGATGGCAGCTCTCTGTGAATCCTTGGGTGTCTCTAGGAAAGGGAATATAGCATATTCCCTTGCTCAGTCTTCAAGGGAAGACTTTACCAATCCATGATGGAAATAATGACAGAAAAAGGAGGGATTAAATGCTTCATTAAATGAGCAGTGTATTGCTGATCCTAACTGTTATTTAAGTTTAGTGTAAGAGCGAATGAGCCAGTCTGGAGTGGGACCAGCACAGATGAACAGCAGGGAGGGTTAAACCTTCCTGTGCAGCAACTTCCCACCATCTCTAAATTGCCCCTCATGTAGGCTAAAGAACTAAGAACAGCAACACCTCAGTTGGTACAAGTTGAGGTTCTTTTCCCTGGACTCCCAGTCCACAAGGGGTGGTCCTCACCCATAGTGTAGCCCCATTAATTTTTCATAAAGTTAAAAAAGAGTTAAGGCTAGGATCATTGATATGCAAATACCAAAAAGTGCTGTGGAAACTTAATTGTATTTTATTTTTTAAAGCCCCAGGCATTTTGAGTGTCATAGCTTTAAAAAGGGCATTTTCCAGCTTTTCAAAGAAGAGTCACTTCCACCCACCTGCACACACCACACACACTTTCCACCCATTTCCAGCAAATGCTTAATTGGCGTGCATTTCCTACTGACCCGTCTTTCAGGCAACGTGTCTAGATGGTGCACTCAATGTTCTTTCCTTTCTCTGCTATTTCTCCGCAGTGGCCCTCGGCCCATCGGGAACCTACAGCTCCAACAGCCCAGCCAGCCCTCTGAGCTCAGCCAGCCTCACAAGTCCACTGAGCCCTTTCTCACTCGTGTCCGGATCCCAGAGCTCCCCTACCAAGCAAGGCAGCAATGAGGTGGGCAAAGTCAGCCTTGCCCAAAACCACCAAGGACAACGCAGCAGAAAGGGGAGGAGGGCTGCAGCCTGTGAGCAGAGTGCTCTTTAATTCAGGGACAGGTGACCTGGTGCCTCCCAGAAGTTTTGAACTGCCATTCCCATAAGCCTTAACCATGTGTCCTCTTGATGGGGGCATACGGGAGTTGTAGTTCAAAGCATTTGGAACACCCAGCCCCACTTTCATGCTTCTGTTTGAAGATTATCTTTCCACCAGTAGATGGCAACCCAGGCCTTGCTTTGATGTGAGTGGTAGAGACTGATGGAGTAAGTTTTCCAGATGCAAGTCAAAGGGCTATTAATTTTCTGTCGAAAGGTCATGAGATTGGCTTAAAACGCATGAAAATTCTGCTGCTTCCAGAGTGTTTTTTTCCCCAGTGGCAATATAGTAATGCCAAAGCAATGTGACAGTAGGATGAAGCTAAAGGGGGACCTGTGGAGGTGGCTGGAGCAAGGCTGCCCTGGCTGTTTGAGTGTAGCAGGAGTTGTGCTCTCATGCTTCTACTTGTGCAGAAAGACTGCCGGCAATCATCAGCCAGGCAAGCTGAAGTGTAGATTGCAGGCAACAGCCACGCTAGCCGGGTTCATTTGATCACAAGGGGGAAAGAAGACACGGTGATGTCTTCGCCCACCCCTTGTGCTAGTCACTCATGGTGCAATTTGCCGAATAGCTTTCCTGTAACGGAGGGGAAACCAGTGAGCTGCATGGCAAGGGCAGCTTCAAAACTACGCTGGAACCCTCAGCTTGTTGTAGGCTTGGGAATGATTTTGAAGCCACCCCTGCTGTGAACCTCACCTGGGAAGCCTCCTGCCACAAGGTTAATTAGGCAAATCGCAAAGTCCATAACAGCACATGGGAGCCTTGATAATGTGAACCCTGAAACTGATTGACAGTGTCAATCATCTGCAAAATGCTCAATCTGGAAGTGGCCAGTGAAAAATTGCAAAATATAAGTTTTGAAAATTTCCCTTAGAATTGCACTTAAATAGACCAGAAGTTTATTTCTATACAATAATATTGCTTTCACTGCCCTGTTGACTTTTATTTAGGGAGCAGAAGCTGTTGAAGGTAGCAGCTAGGACAGTCATATACAAGCCTTATTTTATCCAGGAACAAGGCACCATTCCATTCTCTGATATTTTGCTGTTATTAAGTAACTAATGCTTGATCAGGGCTAGTACCATTGCAGTGTTAGAGAGGAAGTTTCTCCTGCTGGTTCTCCAAAATGTTTTGGATGCAGCCTCAGTGAGCTGTTGATTTCTACGCTACATCACAAGCTTACTCTTTCTTTCTTTCAAGAATGGTGGCAGAAGAAACTTCCATTCAAAATAAATACCTTGCAGTCCTATGGTGCAACGCCAAGTGGCTTCCGTGAGTTGTACCCAGTGTTAGTCTTACTGTGAGGAGAGCCATTGAAATGCAAGGCTTAAACTGAACTAACACTGGGTACAACTTGAGGTGTTACACATTAAAAAAAAAGTGGATAAAAGATATGCACTAGGCAGGGATATTTCAAGCCCCCTACAGTATTAGAATAATTTGATTATACTTATGCAGTATGAGCGTTCCAGTTTACTCAACTCCTCCTTACATCACATAGCAGCCTCAATTATACCTATCATATATGGAAGCCTGAAATTGCTTTGGGCTACTGGGCAAAGATAGTCAGGTATGGAATTGCCAGGGCTATTGTCCTTGCCTATAAAAGGTACTGCAGAAATGGATATACCTTTCCTACTCTGATATGACAGGTAAAATATTTTTAGAGAGATTTTTAGCCTAAGGGTAGGCAGCTTTTTTTAACAACTCAGGTTACATCTATCATCAAGCCCAAACTCTTCCCGACCTAAAACTGCCATCAGTTTTAGCCCCGCTCAGCTTTTCATCTTTTGCATGTACAGGTGCCTCACTTCCTCTGTGGCTACAACCCTGTGACATCAGTTCATATGGAATCATCATTAGGTCTTTTAAGCCTACAGCAGTTGTGTCCTTAGATCAGGGGTGCAAAACCTCAGGCCAGGGGGCCAAACTGCCCTCCAAGCTCTCCCAGTATTTTCTTTGCTTTCTTCCCCTTTCCCCATCCACCAATTGTTTGGAGGTTTCCTAGCTTTTGTGCAGTCTTTCCCGATTCTAAAACGTTGAAATGTCTCTCCTTAGGTTTAGCTACTGGCAGTAAGAGCTTTAAGCTAAAATATTGGAGTATTTGTGATATTTCAACCTAGCCTTTATGCTTTTAGAAGACCTCACCATTGTCCTCAGGCTCATCCACCACCTGAATGTTTTTCCTGAGAACTTCCCAGAAATAAATTCGGCCCTTGGACTGAGAGAGGTTTTGCACCCCTGCCTTAGACAGTAGTTTGCATTGTGCAGCAGTCAGCAAACTTCAGGGACCATAAAATATCTGTATTCTGAATGTGCCTTGAAAGAGATGCATTTTATTTTGATGACAGATATTTTTGAGGTGATTGAAAATCCAGCTCCTCAGAAGATATCTGGACTATTGGGGTGCTCAGCTGCAGTTGCCCTGTCCTGGGTTTAACACCTGTCTCTGTTTGAGTCTATGTCTCACTAATTCTCTTTTCCTTCCCATTCTCACAGTTTCTCTGCTCTTACTCCTAACACTTCTCGGCTTCCTCTTCACTTCAGGAGCCTGGTCCACCTCGACCTCCCCTCCCCAAATCATATGTGCCCTTGGAATCTCCTCCGACTGTCCCTCCGCTCCCTACCGAAAGCCGCCTCTGGCCGCATCCTAGCTCCCCTTCCTGGCAGCAAAGCAGTGAGGCGAAGAGGGGACAGGTACCAAAATGGAGTCTGAGAGCTACAGGCATGCTCTTTCCTCTGCCACACCCAGCAGAAGTTTGGGAGGGATATGGGACCACTCGCTTAATAAGGCACTGAATTAGCCAGTGATGCTCCCTTAAGCCCACTATGGTTAATAAGGGCAGTTTTACACATGATGAATTTTTTTTCTTATATGTGGATTATATCCAAGTAGAATAAATATTATCTACATGAGACTTCTGGGACAATGTGCCTTTTTGAGAATGTGAGATGCTGCATTCTCAGAACGGCTGATGGTGATCTGCTCTAATAATGGATGAAGGCAGAAAGTAGGAATGGAATGCAGATCTCACAGCAGGGACCAAGATGGTTCCCCCCACCCCATCCCGAGAGCTGAAGTCCGCTGAAAGGAGCAATTTTAGCTTGATATATTTAGATAAAGAAGTTTTGCATGTTTTGGAGCAATACAAAAACCTTTAAGATTCATTTGATCAGGAGCAGTGGTGGTGAAAAAAAGAAATATTTATGCACACCGGAGCAATATCTCTCACAAACAAGTGTAAACTCTTAGAAACAGTTATCTGCCTTCAGCCCTAAGTTGCATTTCTATTGCTGCAATGTGATATCGCATTAAGCTATAGTGTGCCAAGAATGAGCTTCATCAAGCCTTGGGCTCCTGTACTCTTGGCTCCTTCCTCCTCCAGCATGATTGGAAGGAGTTCATAAACTTCTGCTTCTAATGCAACTTAGCCACAGTTTATTGCTGTGTCCAAACACTGAACTGTGGTTAATCTTGCCTCTGCTTTATTTGAAACAAGCCAGTTTTGTAACCTATGATTTGAGGTGGCTAGTTTCAAACAAACTAGAGGTTTGGATAATGCAATTTTGGTTTTGCATGATGTCCAAATGTGACCCATATTTAATGTAATTTAGTGTTCTTTATCTTTCTTGGCCCCTCTGTCAAGTGGTAGAATTAAATGAAAAGCATGTCCATAAACAAAAATATAATGAACAATAACACATTTCTCTGATAATAACTTTCAGATCAGTTTATAGTATAACCTTGGTTTAAAATCTCACAGCTCTACCAGGTGAATTTGATCTGCATTAAATTCCACAATGGTAGTGAAGTTGAACTGGGTTTTCATGTCAGTGTCAAGAAGGGATATTGTGTCACTGGGAATTCATAAGAGCTGATTTGCTGGATGCAACCATTTCAGCCAACTGCAAGGTGAAGAAGGAAACCTCTAGACTATAAAACGGACACTCCTTTCCCTAGTGACATTCCACAGGCTTTGCACATCAGATACATGAGGTCACTGCAAAGCTTAGGGGATTCAGGGGAAGCTCCGCAAAACATAATGGAACATACTTAAGGCACTTGTTTTAATTTTTTAAAGACTGAAATTGACTCTCCAGTCTAAAAGTTTTTTCTTCAACCATATCAGCAGCCTCACAAAAGTTTGCTTTTAATAAATGAAATATTTTAACAAATGCCAATCATTCTGATTGTCCAAAAAACTATGATGAGAGTATGATCATTTCTAAAAATGAAGGGGCATAAGATGCTATTACAATACAGGGAAAATGAGAGTCAGACACTTATTCTGGGTCAAACCGATATAGAACAGCCATCTCCCACCTGGTGTCCTCCAGATGTTTTGGACAACAACTTCCAGCATCCCTGATAATTTGTCAGGTATCTGGGGCTAATAGGAGCTGTAGATTAAAACATCTGGTGGGTATCAGGTTAAGGGAGGCTGCCATAGTCTCTTCATGTCTTTTTCAGCCCAGATGTGCAGTTCAAACTGTAGTGAGGCTCATGCCTTTGCTCTGTTCCATGTTTTTGTTGCTACATGAACCAAAGTGGAAGTTATTATAACTTATATAAGCAAGATCAGACTCACATGTTTTTGGTGCAAGTGGCCAGGATAATGGTTGCAGCTGCTGTGGCCCATTCTGCCAGTCCATGCTGCATCATTGTTCCTGTGGCTTTTTGTTCTGTTGTCCCTTCCCATTCCTCCATTCACCCCCGTTATTTGTATCACTAGCAGAGTTTGCCGGCAGAGATGCTCTTGAGATGAAGCAGAAGGAGAGGGACTTGGGCAGGTGTTTTGAAGAGGATGTTAGAATGCCCCTTTCTCTGTGGAGAAAGCCTCTTCTCCAAGCTGTTTATTTTCTTATCAAGGGCACAACAATTTCTTAATTTGTATGATTTCTATTTCCCATTTGTAGGAATATGGTGGTGGTGGCAACCTCTGTTTACACACACACACACACACACACACACACACACGTACAATGGGGGGGGGGGGAAGGGAGGGGAGGGAGAGAGCAAGATCTAGATCCAGCCTGGCATTTCTAAATCTTAATAGCAAATAAAATAGGGTGGACTGGGAGGTCCCCCTCATATCTGGACCACTGACTGATGGAGACCTGATCTTCAATTGAACTTAACCCAATGGAAATATTTCTATATGCTTGAATAAACTTGGATTTTGGCTAGTAAGCAAAGCTCACCATAACCCACAAATTGACTTTGCTTTAATGTTCAATTGTAAACTATTTCAGCATTTTGGGTACAACTTCCCCTCACCCACAAGCGCACATAGCTTTGTGTTGCTTCTGATTCTTCATATTTGTCTCAAACATGAACTTGCCTCCACCATTTTGTCCAACTGGTTGGGTCTTGGTCATTGAGCACTTCTCTGAGTTATTTTCTATTGATGGGGTGGGGTGGGCTGAACCCTGCACAAGTGCTTCTTCTGGTGACTGTTTCCTTTCCCTGTTGTCTGGGCATTTCTGCTCATTTTTGGCATGTATGTGTGTGTCTGAAATCTGTGTAGTTAAGGAAATCAGCCTCTATCTGGACTGGCAGAACATCTTTTGGGCTGCCCTTGAAGCTCCTCATGTGAAATGTATTTGCTTCCCACAGTCCAAGTCCAGCTTTGAGCAGAGCAAGAAGGACCATCACCGGACTTTGGCCTCCAGTGCTGCAGGGGAAGCTGGTCTCTTGCAGGCAAGGCAAGAGCAAGAGGCTGACAAGCAGGTTGCTCTCAACAAAGGTGCCTTCAACAGCATGCAGTTCAGGAGGGGGTCCATTTTGTTTTGCCAGTTTTCATGTTCTTCTATCACAGAGGAGGGAAGTGCAACTCTGGTGCCCAAATCAGTACCTTTTCTAGCATCCCATTCTGACCACAGGGGTTATCCAGAGAGCCCCACCTCCTTCTCCTGGCCTTCCCCATTTATCCACACCACCATTTGTTCAGTGGTTTTCAGCCCATTTTGCAGACTTTCCCCCCATTCTAAAAGAATGAAATGTCTCTCTTCAAGCTGAGTGGCTGGCAGAAGGTGCTTTCTATTACAATATGCTGGTATTTGGGGTAATTCAGCCCCATCCCTTTTATCCTTGGTTCCACCATCCACTGGAACGCTGGCCCTCACAACTTCAAGTTTTAATTTGCCCCTCAGGCTGAAGGACTTTCCCCACCCCTGTTCTAACCCACAGTGCCCCACTTGAGATGGCTACATACAACAAAAAAACAAGGTCCATCTTTCTTTCAGCTGTTATGGGGGAAGAATTTCATCAGGTGTTGCTTGCCTGATTCCAGTCATGCTATGAATTGAAAATATGCGCCTCTCAAAATTTCCTCTTCTGCACAACAGTGAAAGATTTATGGGCTCAATGGTCACTTTTTTGTGATGAGCCTATGGTCTTCTTGAACCTTGGAATCCTATTCTCTCAAGCTGTTTTGTTTTGTTTTGGGTATTTAAACTGTTTCTTCTATATTATGCTTTATTGTAACATGATTTGGATTGATTGTAAGTGGTCTGGGGCATTGCTGTATGCAAATGAAAGGTGGAAGATGGGTTATATAGTTATGAATAACGTTTCAGCAAAAAATGCCATGTTTCTTAAGACAGTTTTACTTGTCAAATCCTCCTGTCCCACCTACCTGGTAATTGAAAATAGTGTGGTTGTATTTCTTGGGGAGCAGTGGAATTGTCACTCCTTGAGAGCATGAAGTCACAGTATGCCAAAGAAGGCTAGATCAGGCACATAATTATTATGTCCCCATCTGTGTTGTCACTGCCAGAAATCTGTTCCCCCACTTCATGCTAATGAAATATCCTTCTTTCCCATCTTCTAGTTGGCATTGTTCCCCCAAGGACTAAATCACCCATGGATGATGAGAGCACAGTCACATCATGTGTAGTGAGGAGAAGTGCCAGTAATCTAGCCAATGGGTTGAACTCCCGGGTAAGGCCCAATTCTGCAGTCTTTTCTATGCTTACTTTGTTTATTTCTGTAATAGCTTAGTCCCCTAGAGCAAATAGTTCTCAGGGCAATATGCAATAAAATTGTTACAACAAACCAAAAAGCAGTACAATAAAATGATCCACTAAAGTAGAGAAATGAAAAAAATATGTATCAAAAACCAAGCATCAACCACATGAAGAATTAAAAGGTATCACCAGTTAAGATACTTTAACAGTACAGAAAAATTATGCAGAGAAATAGAATGCCTATGTAAAGTAAAAAGAGTTTTGCATGTTTAAAATGCATGACAAAGTCTTACTTTCAGTGAGTAATTGCAATTTTGCTCCTGAAAATGCTCAGACTACCATAATACATATTCACAGTGCTGGCAGTCGGGGTGCTCATACCTATATATTTCCCTCTCCACAAAGGAAAAAAATGCACAAATTTGCAAGATGCTTTAGCTACTAGAGTGCACCAAACAATTTCAGAAGGAGAACAGTCTGATTTTTATAGACAACAGCACAGCCTTTGACTGTGTGGTTCATAAGAAGCCATGGATAGTCATGAAAGAAATGGGTGTGCTTCAGCACCAGGTTGTCCTGATGTATAGCCTGTATCATTTACAAGAAGCTTCTGTTAGGATGGAAAAAGGAGAAACAGACTGGTTTTCTATAGGCAAAGGTGTCGGTCAAGGGTGTGTTTCATCTCTCTGTCAGCAATGAAACCAATTACCTAGATAGGTCATGCACTCTCCCACTCTGGGAACATTTGAGATGCAGCTGGACAACCATCTGTTAGGGATGATTTTTAACCAGGAATCCTGCATTGAGCAGGAAGTGATGGGCTTATTGGTCCCTTCCAGCGCTTTTGGTCTATGATTCTCTCTGTACAGAATAAATTTTAAGGAAAGCTGAATTAGGATCAGAGGAAGAGCCTAAAACATACCCACCAAAAATTGGTGGAGGATGCATCAATAATTTAAGATATGCCAGCGATGTCATATTCCTGGCAGAAAGTAGCATGGATTGAATGACCCCAATGAAAGTGAAAGAAGAATGCGCAAAAGTGGGACTGTAGCTAGCATTAAGCAAACATCAATTATGACTGCAGAAGAATTAAACAACTTTAATGTCGACACTGAAGAAATTTAAATTTTGAAAGATTTTACATACCTTGGCTCACCAATTTAAATAGCGATTGTAGCCAGGACTGTTGTCTTTTTGGACTTCTACTCTCATATGTAGGGTTTTTAACAGGTTTGGAATTGTATTGTTGAATTTTTACATAGATTTGTTTCTGTGTGTTTATATATTGTATGTAAATAGTCTTATATTATATTACAATATTATATTTTATGGTTTTTAATTTTGGTCCAGAGAGCTTTGGCTATTGAGCATATAGAAATGTAATCAATGAAAATGAAGCCACACATACTTTGCCAGACTTGTGTTCCCACAAACTATTTTATTAATGGTTACCTATCTCTCAGCTGTGAAGCTGAGTTCATATCCATTCAGAGTGAGGCCCTTCTCCCAGAAGCCAAAATGGTGTTCCAATGGGCTGTTCTTTGCCTATGGCTAAAACTATGAAAAATCCAGTTTCCCGCAGTCAGAACAGGTTTGCACACTGAACCAGGGTAAGGTAAGACAAAGCATTAGGCACAGGGAAAATCCAGTTCTCAAGCTTGTCTGTAACCATGAAGGTCCTATTTTCTCTCTCCTGACCCCAGGACAGGCCAAAGAGCGCTGTGTTTTCAAATGAGATGAAGGCAAAAATGAGCGTTGAGGAACAGATTGATCGCATGAAGCGTCACCAAAGTGGTTCTATGAAGGAGAAGAGGCGGAGCTTGCAGCTCCCGTCCAACCAGCAACAGGCAGATAGTCCTCTCTCGAAGGCTCCTGCCTCCTACAAAGTGGTAATGTATCCCCAAGTCAGACAACCCTTGTACAATGGAGTTGGCATCATTCCCTTTGGCCATACAGGCAACAATTTCCATGTGTAATTTGATTCTAGATGCTTTCTAGGATTTGCCTGGGGTTTCATCTTGGCAGAGATGGGCCAATGTTCTTTTCAGAGAGGGTTTCTGTGGGTTCTGAAGCAGTGCAGCAAGTGCCAAAGTGAGAGTAGGGCCGTCCATCTTTAAGAGCAATATCTGAAGGAGCTGCCTGGTGGAAGCCTCCTAGTGCTATGAATCAAAAGACATTTGTACATCTTCTGTCTTTTTCTCTTTAACAGCATTTTTTCCTGTTAAGAAAAAGGGCCGTGAAAAACAGGAAAGGGTTACAAATGGCATTTGATGACATCTGGACCCCTGTAAACTTCCATGAAGGAGGCAGTTCAATTGCATAATAATTGGAAGCTCCTGGTTTGGGTGAGGGGAAATCAGGAACTTCCTTTAAATGGGAAAAGTGAATGAGAGAATGTCATTTTGAATTAGTTCCCATAAGAAGCCACTGAATCAGTGAATCTGTGTCTTAATTGCATTACTCCAGATTTCACTTCAAATGCACACATGACTGTATGTCTCACCCTGCCCACACACAATGAACAACAATTCATTAACTTAGAGAACTGGTATTCTGAGGAAAATATTAAGCTAGACCTTTCCCCCAATGTCCGGTTTTCTTTGTGCATGGCTTTTTTTCCCTATAGAAGAATTTTCAGTTATGTGAGTCCTGAATAAGTGCACCTTATCTGCTGTGCATTTTGGAGGAAGGCCATGGCATAGCCTTCCCCAGTGTGGTGCCTTACAGATGTTTTGAACTTTAAGTCCCATCAGCTCCAATCAGCATGGCTTGCAATCCAGAATGCTGGGCACCATAGTGTAGAGGAGTTGGAGGGCACCAGGCTGAGGAAGGTTGCCATAGACTGTGGCAGATGAGGAAGGATTGGCAGCAATGATCCACATTTGAGATAGAAATACTGGCAAGATCTTTGAGGGAGCAAAGTACAGTAGTATCAGATCTTGGCTGTAAAATAGTGGATCCATGGGTGTTCTAGGTGCGCAGACATCGCAGCATCCATGAGGTGGACATCTCTGATCTGGAAGCTGCATTACGCTCTGAGGACTCTGGCAAAATGTATGAAACTCCTCGGGAGGAGATTGCTCGGCTGCGCAAAATGGAACTGGAGCCTGAACATTATGATGTGGACATCAATAAGGAGGTGAGATTCAGTGTTTATCTGTGGAATAAGATCTCCTTCCTTGCTAAGAAAGTACAATGAGGTTTTGTTGCTTGCTTGCAAATGAAAACAACACATGTAACACATGGCTGGTTGGACCCTGAAGGGCACTGCAGGATCTGGGAGTACCTTCAGGTGGAGGCCTCCAAAAGCTGTCCATCAAAGGATATTCTGCAGTCCTGTATTGCTCTGTGGAAAGGATCTCAGGTCCAGCCTTTGAACTTTGTCTTCAAGATGAGATGAAGATGATGGTGATGATGATATAGCATTTCTATCCCACATTTTTCCTCTTGTGAAGAACCCCAGGCAGCTAACATGGGGTTGTCATGTTGTCATCACAACAACAATTCTGTGAGGTAGGTTAGGCTGAGAGTGAGTGACTGGTCCAAAGTCACCCAGTGAGACAACCTAAAGACAGTTACATAATCCAGTCAGAAGCAAGGGTGTTCCACATAGGATCTCATCTAGACCATGTGCTTGGAATTGGTAACATAATAACTAAGACCTGGATACTTCAGCAAAGTTAGAAATTATTACCTAAGTTAAGTTCTCCTTCACTGCCATCCTTTGCACTCAGTGCCTCTCTCTGTCTGCTCTTCAGCTTTCTACCCCAGACAAAGTCCTCATCCCAGAAAGGTATATTGAGCTAGAGCCTGATACCCCACTGAGTCCAGAAGAGATGAAAGAGAAACAAAAGAAAGTGGAAAGGATAAAGACGCTGATTGCCAAATCCAGGTACAATGCCGGCTGGAACCTTCTCTTTCCCATGTTAAGCATTTTTTCCCATTCTGCCCTCTGGTTGCTGTTCATCAATTCACATTTAAGCTTGGCTTTTGAGAGACCATTCATTAGTCTGTCAGGTCCTCTGCTTACACCTATTGCTGGTTATCAGCACTGGTGAACAGCTTCCTATTCTTCAAGAACAAGGAGCCTTATTGCTCACTCTTCTTTCTCCCTTAGCCCTCCCCACTTTTCAAGGGACATCTTAGAATTTGGTAACACGTAACAAATATTAGCAGATAACTGTGTGTCCTGTCCATAGCACTTGGCCTGGCATGAAATATCACACAGCAGCCCCAGTCATGATGAGAGTAAGCACTTGTACAGACATTTGCAGCTGAAAGGTTTCAAGAGGTGTATCTGTTAAAAAATGGACAAAAATAGTTCACAGGGGTGACAGGAGATGGGGAGGAAATCTATATGCATTTAAACTGGTTGCATGTTAATTTTTAAAAATTAACTGGGCAGTTAACTTTTCCTTTTTTATAGATACATTTTGAAAACTTTTTTACTGTATTGCTATGGTTGAAAAAAAGTCAGTTTAAGCATAAAGCAAGTTCAGCCACAAGAAGCAAAGAAAAGGTCAACATGGAGGACTTCTTAAAATAATTCCAGTTTGAAAGAAATGGTCTTTCCAGTTAGCTTTGATCAGACCAACTTCATTCTGGGGGGCAGACAAAGATTGAATACAAAAGATGCCATTTATAATTCTCCTGTCCCACCGACCTGCCCCTTTGGGGACTGCAAGTGCTCCCTAGTTGAGATGTGCTCTGGGACAGTCAGCTCGTACTGGCAATAATCCCAAGCTTGCTTTCTTGCAGCATGCAGAATGTGGTCCCCCTCAGCGAGGGAGAGGTGGATGTGCCCCAAGACTCAGAGACCCAACTGCAGGAGCAGGAGAAACGGATAGAAATCTCCTGTGCCTTAGCAGCAGAAGCCTCTCGACGGGGCCGCATGCTCTCTGGTAAGGTACAAGCTCTTGCAATGTTGCAGGGAAGCTTAGGCAATGCAACAATGAGTTCCCAAAGAGACAGCGGCTTCTTTTCACCTCACAGAGTTCTGCCTGTTATAGTTTGTTCTGCATTTAAATACAGGATGTGTAACTCATGGCAAAATAAATGAATTGGAGATGACTATGTAATTCCCTTGTGCAGACAAGACATGCTTCAAAAATACGACAGATCTGACAGCTTGAGTGCTGGCTGGTGTAAATTAGTGTCAGTGCTTTAAATTAGTTATAGTGATTTATAAAGGCTGGAGAATTGTCTGACAAAGCCAAAGCATCCTGCTGCACTGCTGTGGTTTTGCACTACTTCAAGCGGTCCAAGGGACCTGTCTGGACGATCACGTTGCTTGTGCAATGGCAGACATTGCATTCAACTTTCCTGTCTCCTCCTGGAATTTGTTGCCTTTAAGGATCCATGTCAGATAATTGAGAGCCACTGGTATATCCTTTAAGTGATATTCAGGCAATATCATTTCTAGTGAATTGAGCACATCTTGTATAACATACAGTCTTTACCCCCACCCCAAGCCCCCATCCACCTTTCTAATGGATGCAATTGTATATCCAAAGTTTCCCACAGTGGTTCTGCCTGAAGAATGTGAGGCATGGGAAGTTTCCCCAGAAGTGTCTTTCTAGAAGCCATCCCCAACCTAGTGCATTCCTAATGTGTTGCACTACAATTCATGGCTAACGGGGATGCTGGGGATTGTCGTCCAACACGATCTGAAGGTTGGGAAAGGTCAGGCTAATGCATCCATGGAGCACTCCCACTGTTTTCTATAGAAGAAGCTTCTTGGAGAGTTCCCAGAGACAGTTTTGTGGAAGCCTCCCCTACCTCCCGAGAGCGACTTCACAGAGCAAATTCCTCTGTTCAGTTCAGTGATGCAAAAGAGGCTCTTATTCCTGGGGTGCTCCTGCGTTGATACCTAGAAGGGAGGGATGGTTTCAGATGAGAAACTGAGGCTTTGCAGACTAGAAAAGGGGCAAGAAAGAGTGGCAAGATGGAGATGCGTAAACCACTCACATTGTGGAAAAAGGCAAGAGGGAGCTATTTTCCCCCTCTCATAACCCTAGAACCAGGGGATAACTTGTGAAGCTGATTCTAACAGGCTAAAGGGAGTACTACTTCACACCACACATAATTAACTTAGGGAACTGGCTTCCACAGAATAGTGGTGGCTGCCATCTTATACAGTTTTAAAGGGGGATTATAGAAATCTTTAGAGTATACATTTTTCAAATTCTATTAACTATGATGACTTTATAGAACTTGCATGTTGAGATGCAGTGTGGAACTGACTGCTGGTTGATGGAGGGGAACAGTGGGGAAAGGGAAAGCCAACCACCCTCATGTCCCACTTGTGGGCATCCCGTAGGCATCAACTTGACCTCTGTGGGAAACAGGATACTGGAGAAGCTGATTCAGTGGGGCTCCTTTTATGGCCTCCTCCATACAGCCAGGCTCTGGGCTTCAAATGTTTACCGTGTGTCCATCCGAGGTTCTCTTTGAGCTTTCCGCAGATGCCTGAAATGTCTGACTCATGCCCTGCTTTACCGTGGGGACTGCTGGCTGGAAGACATGGCCTGTGGCAAGAGGACAATGGGTTGCTGAAAATGGCTCAGGAAATGCTAGCTGTGGATTGTGAGTCATTGCATTGACCACAGCTGAAAGAATTGCTTAAAATCTGACCCATGGGTATCTTTTTAGCTAGCTAGATTTGCGGTGTTAACATTACTGTGATATAGGTTACAAAACCAATCTTGCTTTGAACATACCACCACTTTCCACAGCCTGAGATCTTCTGTCTAACTACTTCTTTCCGAATGATCTGTTGCTGCTGCCTGAGCCCACAGAAGAAGCTTCTGTGGAAGAAGGGACTGCCTGTGGCTAGTCCTGTGAGAAAAACCAGAGCAGAAGATTTTTATTCAAGCCACATATTGACTTTGACTCTAGGATGAATAGCTACACATTATGAGGGCTGCTCTGAAGATCTGCCAGCTTTCATGAATATTAATCCTTAATGCTATTTGCTGAGGAGGTGCTGAGCAGAAGAATAATTGCCTCTTCCTGTAGTCCATGGCAGGATGGGTGGGGTCTGTTCTTCCCCTTAGTCTACTGGGCAAGTGCCAGGCTGCTCTCCTTCTTGACTTGCTCTGTGTTTTTCCCAGTGGGACTCTCAAGTACTCATGGAGGAGCCATTTTGTACTGCTCTGTGATTTCCGATCACGCTTCCTTTTCCCTTTCTTCTAACTCCTGTTTGCTTTACTGAATGTATTTTGCCTTTCTTTCCTTCTTCTACCTTCCTGGCTGAAGCATCTTCTGTTCTTCATGCCTGGTCTCCATTTCTTGTTTCCAGCTCAATGTGCCACCCCGAGCCCTCCCACTTCCCCAGCCTCCCTGACTCCACCGACCAAGTCCCTCTCGTCTGACTCATCCCAGGGCACCGATGGCCATTTTATGCGTGTCTGAGCCATAAAGTAAGCACATTTTCTATTATACTTCATCTCATTCTCTGTGAGTCTCTGTGAGCCATCAATCTCTTGGAAAAAAGAAGGGGTAAGCTTCTTTTTCAAGAGTTGCTTCTCTTCACTGACCCATCCATCCATCTGTCCACTGATATCTGCTAAGCAAACCCTTTCTTTTTTGTCAGAAGAAGCCCAGTCTCCTTCCACAGAGTAAGTGCAAGATGCTTCAACTGTGAATGAAGATGCCATTTGTCTGAGCAAGTGTCTTCACAATGATTCACCCATGCCAGTGTCTCCCAGTAGAGGAGCAGGCCTCCAAAAATGAGATTATTTTCATGACTTCCGGCATAAGCAGTGAGAGCAAGAAATCCTTGCTCCTCATTTACCTGAGCCATGAACTCTCAACTTGTTGCATCTCAGATGTTTTGGACTACAACTCCCAGTATTCCTAGCCATTGGCAATGCAGGCTGGTACCAAAATATCTGGACGTTTAGGAAGGCTGAAGTCAAAATAGTTTGAGCTTAGAGGCAGAGTTGTGTGCTTTTTTCTGTTTTTTTTTTTTTTTAACCAAAACCAAGTTTGACAGCTGTGATTTTAAGCGGGCAGGTGGTAGGGAGTGTGTTACTTGACCCTTTTCTCCTCTTGCTGTTCTCCCACTCAGAATCCCCCTTCTCAGCCTGTTTTTGCATTGCATGGGAAACAATAGAAGAACTCACATCTTTGTCTGTGCAGGTTAAAAAGAAGACTGTGAGCCAGTTAGAACTAAAAATAGTAATTTTAAAAAATTAAAGTTAACAGCCACTTCCGGCATATTCCTTCTTTTTAATTCACAGCCTCCCAAAGTTGTTTCTGTTGCTGATAATGATGTTTAAAGTTGGATGAAAAATACACACCACTGTGTGTGATGTTTAGTTTGGGTCACAGGCAACCCACTATTCTTTCAAGCTCAGTTCCCCCTCTGTAATTTGAGGATGACAGCCATTGGCCTATAAAGGACCCTTTTAGAAATTATATAGCTAATGTATGTGAAGACCTTTGAAGAACTGATATACACTATTATTTCTGTAAATTATCACAAATGATTTGCAAAGGTTATACAGACAAGGGCAGTAGAGGACCAGAAGCAGAAGTTGTTTGAAAAGAGTAGAAAATGGATCCAGAAACCTATTTACCCATTTATTTGTGTTGTTATGTACAAGTTGGTGAACTGTATTCACCAACTTGTTGCTAAATGCAGTTTTCATTAAAAAAAACATTTTGTCCTTACGTTCCATGGATTGTCCCACCCAGGCTGTTTGTTATAGCCTCACAAGGCACATCGTTTTTGGTCTTTGGTGGTGTGACTAGAGTACCCCGTGATCAGGAGCTGTCAGATTTGCTTCCCCTGCAAATTATCCTTTTCGAAGTCAAAGTTTTTTAATTGTGTGTAATGACACAAATACTAATTAAAATTAATTTAAAATTGCTTTTAAACGTTTGATTGTGGGATAAGCTATTGCTAGAAGAATAACTGGAGCAGGAGAAAAAAGAGGTATATAATTCCTTTGCCTGTGGGTCTTGTACCTTATTTAGTATAAGAAGAAGTGAGCCATGGTGTGTCCAAGAAAAGGAACTGTGAATGTTAGGCAGAACTGCTGCCTGATTTTCCCTTCACAAAACAGTTTGGATTTGGACGCATAAAACAATAAAAAGGTAGTTGGTAGGTTTTTGTGCATAGCTTGGGTTTGTTCTGAATGGTTAAATCCACTCTATTTTTAATGGCTATTCTCCCTGTAGACCTTTGGGTGGCTCCTGAGAACTGAAGGATGGAAAGTAACATATATTGTATATGTCACAAGTCCATCTTTCAAGCCATAGTTGTATGCGCACTGACCTGGGAGTAAGCAGTGAATACAGCGGGGAATATTTCCAAGTAAATATGCATAGGACTGTGTTGTTAGTCCGACCATCCTCCATTGTTGGTTGTCCAGAAGACAGGCAAGAATTAAACACCAACATTTCATACCCTCAAATCACCAAGGAATATGGTGAAGGTTACACTGCCGGTATGGCTACAGCAGAAGGGATCGCTCCTGATCCACTGGTGATAACAGGATTCTACTTTCCAAAGGACCAATTACAAGTTCCATCATGCATTTGCTAACAAAAAGTAAAACTTGACGATACTGAGTATTCGTTGCCATTAAATTTCAGACAATCCAGATGCCTAAATAAATATACAAATAGTTCCAAACCTTGGGATGGATGTTGTATTCTTCCAGTTGATAAACCTTCTGATGAGCACCATTAATGTTTTGAGAAAGGTCCTTACACAGGAAGATAATTTTTTGAGGGTTGGAGTGGTCAGATTCGTAGCCTTTGCTCATCTTGCAAAGTCATGATCAGTGGCCTTTCCAAGAGGCCCACAGCCTTAGCTCCACTTACTGTCACTGACTCTTCTCTCTCTCTCCCTCTCTCCCTCTCTCTCTCTCTCTCTCTCCCCCTCTCTCTCTCCTCTTTTCCTTTCAGCACAGGCCCTGGCTGCTGTGAATGCTGTGAAATTCCACGGAGCCACTTTTTAACAGCCCAGTCTGCATCCTGGCAGAACAACTCAATGATGCACGTGGCCATTGTTCTTATTCTCTCAGAACACCCCTTCCTTCAGTCGAGCTGCATTCAGGAAGGAAAACCTGCCTCTGAGGAGAATGGGGGATGTCTCACCTTGACCCCAGTTCCACCTCCACAACACACACACCCTTCCACTGCTGTCATGGCCCATACCAGCTGCCCAGATAAGCCCTTTCAAACCAGTAGCAGATGGGTGCAGCATACTGGAGCTGTTCCATTCCACAAGGCAGGTCTTAAAGTCATTTAAAAAGCAGAAGACCACCAGCCAGGGATCAACTGTTGCTTGGACTAGCTCAGCACCGAACTGGAAAAGTGACATTGGTGATAGCAGGGGGAAGAGAAGTTTCTTATGCCAATGTAGCCGTCTCCTGGGGAGCTTGGTTCCCTTCCACCAACTTGTGTTTGTGGGGCAGGAATGTGTGAAGAATGACTTGCCACCATAGCCAAGGGCTTAATAACCCCTTCACTGAATTGAGCACCAGATATTTTTCTTCCCTCCACCCCCTACCCCAGGTCAGTTCTCCTCTGCCAACCAGAATAGCTTTAGCACCCTTACTCTCCGACCTAAGCAACCATTGCACAGCCATGCTTCTCTGCTTATGCTCACAGCCATTCACAGGAAAAGGAAGGCGGGAGAAGCGTGGATCGACAGGCAGAGCTTTGTGCATGTGGCCGGTGAAGAAAAAAGAAGGCTGCTTGTCTGAGACGGGCTGGGTGGAGAAAGTAATAGAGGCTTTAGAGGAATCTGTGATTGTGTGGGAATACTGCTGTGGCTGGCATTTTCTTCTTTTCCAAAACGCCATATGGGTAGAATGTTTCAGAAGACGTGCATAATGTATGTGGACATGGAGCAGAGGTGTACATGAAAGGTCGAATGGGGAAAGATGAGGATAGAAATGTTCTCTTGGCTGGAATTGATCCAGTGAGGTCTGTTTTCCTGTGGACACAAAGCAAAATTGGGATTGGGCAGGTAACTTTCCCTCCTCCTTCTCACATCTAAGTCACTGGGCAAGTTCTCTGGGGCATGCTTTTAAGTAATGGGACCAGGAAGAAAACTGCCTGCCGGACAGATCACTGTGTTAACCATGCACTTAAGATGTTATTTTATTTTATTTAGTTTTTGCACCAGCCCTTGAAGTAGTAGTTCCTGCTATGAAAGACAAGAAATTTTGAGTATGCAGAATTTGGGTGTGAACTAAATGAGATGGACCAAAAGTCAGTCCCCCTGACATAGAAAAATTAATTGTAGGCCGTCGTAGAGAGGACAGAGTGAGACTGGGCCCACTCTTCCAATTGAGCTCGGATTGTTTCCTCAATAGTCTTGAGAGAAGAATTAATTGAGAAGGGAGATAAGCCTAAAGGGAAAGTATAGGGAGAGAGCATGCATTTTGAAATGCATTAATAGAAGTGTTACTTTCAAATCATGAGAAGTAATAGTTCCCCTGTACTCTTCAGTAATCAGGCCTCATCTAGAATACTGTGTCCAATTCAGGGCACCAAAATCTTTCTTAAAGAAAGATGCAGAAAAATAAGAAAGGGTCCAGGAGAGGGCAAGAAAAATGATCCAGGGTTTGGAAACACTGCCCTGAGGAGAGTACTGTGTATGTTCAGCCTTGAGAAGAGAAGACTGAGTGGGGACATGATATCCCTCTATAAGTACTTCAAAAGTTGTCACAGAGAGGAAGGTCAAGATCTCTTCTCACTGATACAAGAGTGTCGGGCATGGAATAATCAGTTCAAGCTGTGATAACCTGGATTCAGGCTAGATAGTGGGAAAAGTTTCCTCAGTGTCAGAAGAATACAACAATGGGACCAGCTGCCTAGAGAAGTCATGGGCTCTCCCACACTAGAGACATTCAAAAGGAAACCAGTAAGTCATCTGAGTGGAGTGGTGTAAATTGGTGTCCTGCAACATCAGAGGTTGGACCTGATGGCCTTCTTGACTGCTTCCAACTCTATGATTTTATGGGAGATGTATTCATTTTCAAGGACATGCCTACAGAGTTTCCCTGACCTACCATGATTTATTCAAGAGGTTCTGGCTCACTTGTCTTTCTCCATACTGAACCAGGGATCTTACCAGATCAAGGGTCTCAACTTCCTTTCCACACTGCTTTTGTCTACTGAAAGGGAATGTTTACATGGTAAAGTTGGACCTCAATATCATTTAGGGCAATGTCTGAATTTTTGGGCCTACTGTATTCTCCAGACAGTGATCCAAGGACTGGCAAGAAAGGTATGCTGCCATACAACCTGATCCCTGCAGAAGTAGTCAGGCTCTGCATGAAAATTAGTGCCATCTCTCCTTATGGGTTATTCATTCTCACAGCACAGGACATGAGCATGGGCCAGGGCATTGCATACAAGCTCACAGAGATGGTTTTCAAGGCTAGTTTCAAAAATCTGTGTAATAAGAGGCTGCAGCTCAATGGCAGGGCACAGGTTTTGCATGCAGAAGAATCCACGTTCAGCCTCTGACATCTCCAGATACAGCTAGGAAAGAATCTTGCCTAAAACCCTGGAGAGCTGCTGCCAGTCAGTACTGACAATACAAGGCTTGATGGAGCAACGCTGTCTTGATAGAGAACAGCTCCCCATGTGTCTAGCACTGACGTGCTTACAACATTCGAAAACAATTTTCCTTCTATGTTTTTCCTACTAAAATATGGTTGGACCACTATGGTGACAACAAAATTGTTTGGCAGTTTGCCATAGCCATATAAGGTTAAGTGGGATAAAGTCTTCCCAAACTGGTTCCTTCATTCTGTACAAAATTACATTTTATGGAAGTAACTAAGATTGTTCTATCTATAAGTTGGGACACGGGAATGCAGCCATCTTTTCCTTTTAATTCTTTTAAATGGGATTTTCAGACATGCCCATGGCTTAGTTTTCTAATGTGCTGGGTTCCCACCCATCCAACATTCTGGGATCTTCTCAAATATAAAACAGTGGCGGTTGGCACTTTAGCCTGAGGTGTTATTTCTGAGTGACAATTTACTTCTGCTGAAATGTTGATAGGTTCACAAAAGCAGTTAGCAGCTTCACTCTCAGCCTGGATTTGACAAATACATGCCTATAACTGTATCAAATTTACCCAATCATTTGTCAAAACCAGAAGTTCTGTTCCAACTAATGGTTGGAATAAGACTGCTTCAGCTTTAAAAAGTAAGGCTAGTTTGAATTAAATGTGAGTTGGTTTTCTTGTTCCTAAAGTAGTGCTCAGATTCAGGGTACGCTGCCCCCACTTTCTCTGATGGCCCTCTTAGCTACTATTATCCTCTAGGGAGATGGGCTTGGCTGAAACTGGAGACAGTGGGGAGCAGCACTTGAGAATTTAATTGCCTTTCCCCATGTTTTCCTCTGTGATTCAAGCACTGCTGGATGACAATGTTGTGGTTGCATGAAATGTTGTAGCTGTATGAAAGGCAGGCCTGGTTTTGGTTTGAAAGAGAAAAGGAAAGGTCTGAAAGGTCTGTGCATTTTCTTCTAAATTATAACCATTTTCCCTATGCAGTTAAGTAAGCTCCCTGGGTTCCATCGAGAAACTTGACAGTGCGGCCTATTGATTTCCGTACCTTGGACAGGTATAGTTGTCCATCATCAAGTATAGTTTTGCCCCAGGGATTGCAGTCCTGCTCACTGAAGATTCCAAGTGATTCCTTTTTCCAAATGGAAGGCTGCAGTCCCATGCACGTACCTCGGAATTAGCTCCAGTCAACTCCATGGAGCTTTCCTCTGCATGAACTTGCACAGGATTGCACTGTTAGACTCATTTCCCACCTTGAATGTCGTTTTACTGTAGGTGTGTCTGAGGGATGGGACTGACTTGGTCAGGTCTTTGCAGCAGCTGGACTGATGCCTGCCAGTCCATGTGGCAACTGCACAGTGAGCTGGCAGCACAGTCCACTGGGAAGAGTGGTGTGCAGCCCTTCTCACAATCTGGGGCTTAGGTTCTGGCCTAAACCCACTTTCCTATGAGTAAGCCTCACTGAAATCACGGGGGCTTATATCGGACTAGGTGCGCATAGGTTTGGACTGCTAGCCTTCAATCCTAAACAATGCTAGGTTGGATCTAAATTTTGTCACGCTTAGAGTAGACCTGCTAAAATTAACCCGTCACATTGCCTTCAGGGGTTCTGCTTTAAGCATGACAGAATATGGATCCAGCCTATATTCTGAGCGCATACATGGTAGAATTTATTTCTGAGTATGCATGCATAAGATTCTGCTCTTTATTGTCTAAGGTTGTGCTTTTTACATATTCATGTTAAACACTGAAGTAGCCATTTGGGGAAGCTCCCATCTCATCACTTCTGAGGATTTACCTTAACCAATATTAATAGGAATCGTAGGACAGCAGCACCTTAGAAGATTTTGGATCCCAAGGATGGCAGATTGTCTTTAAATCAGAAATGTTTCCACCTCATGAAATATAAAGACCCATTTTTCTCAGATTTCCCCACAAATTTGTTTTAGCACCAAAGTAGTGGGGAGAGGGGCAGCGCTCATCTTTTCACATATAAGAATTTAGCCCAATAGATTAATTAGGTTCCTGGTCCTTAATGAGAACTGTTGGCATCTATCTTTGAATCAGATTTTTTCCACTATCTTGTTCAATAAAAACTATGGATACTTTTTATTATTTAAATGATCCCATTGGCAATATTTAGAACACTCCACAGAACAGAATTCAAGTTCATTTTCTTGAGCAATACATTTGACATTCCATAATAATAATAATAATAATAATAATAAATTAATAATAAAAGTCTGGGTTCTGCCCCATAGTAGCACCTGTTAGCTCATAAAAACTGTCCCTTCATTGTCTTCTACATGCCTTAATATATGTTTTATGGAAAGTATACAGTGATATATGTGTGCGCGCACGTGTTCATATGTGTGTGTGTGTGTGTGTATTTCTCTTCTCACTGAACTGTTTTCTTTCATGCTAAATTTCTTGCTCTGTGTATAGGGCCACTGAAGTCAGCCCTGCCACTGGGTTTCTGAAATGGAGACACTTTGGGCAATTTATCAGAATAATTTAAAAAAGCTAAAAAGACATATTTAAATAAATAAATAAATAAATATAGATCTATTTTCTGCTTTTATTAAAAGCAAATTTATTTAAAATAAATAAAAAGCTGTCTGTTTAGTGGAACGGTGCATTTATTTCCTTGTTGTTGGGTCAGAGGGTGCTTGTATGTCAGAGCCCAATCCTCAGCTGATGCCAGCTGGCATCGCTCCTTTGAAACCAGTCAAGCTACAGCTGAAGCCTGTTGAGACTCTGGCCCAGAAGGGACATTATGAGAAGATGTGCAGGACTGTGGCATATCAGGGACCACAAAGATTGTCTTGCTGGTAGATGGCTATCCCACTGGGATCCTTGCAATATAGGTGGCCTTTTTAAAAGGCCAGTGCCACTCCTTAGTTTGACCTCTCTTTTGTTCACGTGAATGCGTTTGGATGTGGCTGGCAGAGAGGCATCCCTGCTAAGCAGCTGTTTTATTCCCTCTCCACTCATGCTCACTGTCCCAGCCGCCATTTATGTCTCTACATATCTCACTTCACTGAGAAAAGTGCACCCTTCAGATGGTACTTGGGTCTTTCTGACTTTCTCCCGTTTTGAAGGAGCAGGGCTCATGTAACCCTCCAGATATTGCTGAATCCCAGGTCTCTTCGTTCCCTAACCACTGACTATAGTGGTCAATGGGCATTGCTGTCCAGCACCCTCTGGAGGACCACACCTTCCTCGGGCAGCCCAGTGGTGTGGGGAAGTAAGAGCTGGAGAGAGGCCTACATTAGCCTCCTGAAGGATTGCCTACTTAGGAGTGGCTGTCCCTGAAGTCAGGGAAGGGCCTCCTTGTTCTACCTCTTTTGAGGACTCTGAGGTAGTGGTCCTACTTGTGCACAAGTATGAGAGAGACACAGATCACCTTGAAGGGGTTTGGTGTGTTAGAGGAACCATAACAGTAGATAAAGCGAGGACTGTACCATTTATTGGAGCCTCTGCACTTTTTTCTATCAAGAAAGTGCTAGTTGCCACCAAATCTCCTTCAACAGAACCCCACCCACTCCTATTTCTGGCATTCTGTCTGCCATGAAGGAAGGTTTTTTAAAATGGCAAGAAGAATGGCCAGGGAAGTTCTCCATCACTGATCACCATCCCTCTGCTCAATTAATACGTAGGTAGAAACTGTGACCAATTATTTGCTAATGTCACTTTAAGCATTTTTGAGGTTACAAGCTGTGAGCTCTCAACAGAGTGCATTTAGGATCACAATTTTGCAGTATTGTGGAACATGTTTTCAACCTGTTTTATTTTAAGTGTTGTTGTTTCCCTCTCCTTCTAATAACACTTTCATATGCCAGCAGCATCTGTAACCAAGAAAAATGACATTATTTATGCACATTGTTTGGAGCAACATTTTGCTAGTTGTTAGACAGGTTTCAAAACTATCAAAGAAGCAATGTGATGTTGATGTCTTTCTTTCGTATAAAAGTGACCTTAGAATATGACAATTTAAAAAAATAGCAGTTTGTGATTAAAACCAGTGTAGCTTGGGGTCCTTCAACCAAACCAAGGATAATCTTTCCAGTAATTAAACCCGCAGTGGCTTGCTTAATATCCCCTCCCAGCAGCATTTGTTCTAGATGTAGCTACTTTCAAAGGTCAAAATCTCACACAAGGAAAGCAACTAAATAAATAAATAAATAAATAAATGCATTTGTACCTTGCAAGTTTGTATAAAGCAAATAAATAAAAATGGATGGTTTGTAAACAGATTGTGTGCTTCCCTCATTTTTCTTGGCATGTGCGTATGAGACACGGGATGGGGAAACAGGCAGAAGGGGTACTTCGCACTGCATCACTCTATGGATGGGTTCCCTACCCTGTGAATACACTTTGCACTGTGCGTGGTTCATGGGGGCCTAGCAGACAACCTGGCTCAGCGTGGGTTGCTCTCTCCACACTGCCTGCTCAGTCCTCCAGCCAGAATTCTGGTATCCATGTCTTGTCTCCCCTGACCATGGTCTGGTCGTGACTTTCATTCATAAAGTGGGCTAGGCTGGGGATCAGCCCAAAAAATGTGCACAAATGTGTTCATTGTTATTTCGTTGGTTGGTTGGTTTTGGGAGGGATTTATCGGTCTTCCACAATTGCAGGAGTGCAATATTTTGACTTTCCTCTACATGTAGTCTTGCCAGTTCAATACTTTGGTCAGTTTCAGCTGTCAAACTCTAACAGATTTATGAGGCAACACTGCATATAGGCTAGTTGGTGAGCAGTTACCTGACTATCAATTGAGACCCTGACTATCAATCAAAGTAGGGTGGTGGCTAGAAAACTGCACAAGGACTTGGGGGTTCTGAGTGCCAATCCCCATTCAGGAGATATTCCCAGACATTCCAAGGCTTGGAAGGCCTGAAGAGGGGGCAGAAAGCATGTGCTGTGTCGAAATCCCACCCTTAGACTTCCCTTATGACAATACACCTTGAGGCATGGATCGTTCACCCCCAGATTAGGGTTAGGGTTAGGGTTAGGGTTAGGGTTTGAAAAACCAGCATTGCTTCCAAGGTCTAGCTGCCTTAAAAGTGTTTAGAAGGGGCAGACAAAGAGAGCCGGCCAAAAAAATCCTACTAAACATGGTCGGTCTGAAAATTTCTTCTTCCTGTGTATAACAGCTCCGATGAGCCCTTGGAGAAAGGTCTGTTAGTGTTAGTGCTTGAATGACAAAGATTCTCTCTGCCATTCCAAGGGGAGGGGGCAGAAAGCATGTACTGAGTGGAAGAAGCCACCCTTGAAATCCACCTTTATGTGTATTGTTGCCCCAAATTAGGGTGATGGTTGCACTCCGTTTTTTTAGGCTTTGTAGTAGTGGGATTCTTGAAAAGTCTGTCCTATTCCTTCTCTGAATTCTCTCTCACTCTCTTTTTCCCCTCTACTTCTTTGCTTATATCTGTTTGTTTGTTTGTTCTTTCTCATTTCTAGGTAACATTTTAAGGTGATGTGGTAATTTTCTTTTTGACCGTAAACAAGAAAATGTGACACCATTTTCATGTTAATACTATTCAGGTTGCAAAACAATCTAATAAGTATTATGTAGCTTTAAGTTTCAGAGCTTCCAAGGTGATGGTGGGAGATTGGAGGAAAACTGAAGCCAAACTAATCAGAATTCCCAAAAAATATTCTTTAAGAAGTGGAAACTTAAGGGAAGTCCCGCTCTCTTCAGACTCCTCAGAGTAAATTATCCATTATACCTAGTTATTTCGGTGCTTGGATATACCAGTAATGACTTGGGTTTGTTTTTGGGTTTTTTTTTTTAGGATTATGAATAGTCAAACCTGTAAATACAATTGTCTTTATTGTCTATCCTGAATTTTTTTAAATGAAGAATTTAATAGGATGAAAACTTTTCCCTGATGTTTAAGATGACCCCCAATTTTTGCCTTGCCATTTTGGTTTCAAGTGTCATCCTATAGATTGATATGAACCATGTTTTAAATTTATTTTTGGCAAAGCTTTTGGGCTTACATAATCACAGTGAGAATACACATTTTTCCACTGCTTTGCGGTCTCACAGGCAGTCCGCAATTCCTGAAATGTAAAAGCCCAGTGAAAGAAACTATCTTCCCCTGAGCTTTTATTGAAGTACATGGAATTTCGAAGGCTACAGGGTGCCAGAGAGATGTATGAATAAGGAGAGGACACTTTCGCACCTTCCTTGACCAACATATAAGCAAAGAAGCACAAGAAACTGAAAAACAACTGAGAATTTCTCCAAATTTTCTCAGATGCATTTCTTTTCAGCAGCAAGTTCTTTCCTATCAAACTGAATGAGAATATTTCAAGAAAATGTAGGAAATTTTTCAGCACACATTAATTATAAGTATTTGCCTTCACAATTCAGGTTACATCAGACCATATGAAAGACTCATGCATGAAAATAAATGCTGAAAATAAACTTAAATAGGCCAAATGATTCAGCTTTTTGAAGTAAGTTTCCTGCCTATGTCCACAGCTGCATGCCCAGCGCTGATCTATATCTTCTTGTGCAGAACTTCTACTACATGTTGTGCCTTATAGAAATGTGTGCTGTGACTCAGACAGAGCAGTTTCAGATAGACAGAGTAGATAAAGCAGGTGTCTTTAGCTAGCAATTAGTCTGCTACAGTGGTTTTTCTCTTGTGGCTGTTTACGTGAGAACTGAACATGCATTCTCTTTACAGGAACAGGCCTATGTGACATCACCAAAAGAGAGGACGTAAGATTAATATGTATTGGCATTGAAATTGCATACGCAACTAAATATGTAAAGATGCAGTTTTAGAAATAAGTGAACCATTCTATGCATATTTAGACAACAAGGCTAGGACACCCTGGGACTTGTAGGCCTTTTTCCAACTAAATATGCATAAGATTGCACATTAAATTACTATAATTTAAATAGAAATAGAATTTCACCATAACTGGGATGATAGTAACTAGGTAACTTCACGTTCCTGCCCAGTCTATTGCCCAACTGGTAACTCTGAATGGAAAAATCAAAGCCCCTGCTTTCCTGTCTTATGTTTTGCTTATTTGAAATCTTTATACAGATCTGGATAATCCTTCAAGCAGAGGGCATCTTCAAAAGGGGGGGTGGTCCTCTGGCAGCTCTTGAAAAAGAGGACTGTCCTCTGTAAAGTAGGTCATAGGACTACCTTACATCAACTTCTTAACAGCTGCAAGTAAGAGGAGCTGTAAGAGAAACAGTCCTCAGAGGGCTGAACAAAGAGCTGATACTAACAAAAAGCCGATGCTGTAAGCTGTCCAGAGACATAAGTAATTGGACGCCATACACATTTTATAAATAAATAAATAATACTAACATAAGTGCTGTGCATTCATTATTTTAAGCTGCACAGGTACTCAAACACATAGCACTGTCATTTTCATGTCATTTTTCAAATGACAGCAGAGAGGAAGTGCACTGCAGTTTGGCTCGGAGGTGGACTCTTCTCTCTTGATCAGTACCCCTACTACATACCTGGTGCAGCTCTCAGGTCCCCCACGCAGATCCAGGAGGAAAGGAAGCACCAGCAATGGCACTTCAACTGAACTGCCCTGCTTAGAGTCACAGTGGCAGCTCACTTAACTCTAAGAGACATTTTCTCTGCTGAGAAGTTAATGATTTGCAGGACAACACCGAAAGGGCTAAAGGCCTTTCCAAGGTTCACCAGCGGGGAAATATGTGGAAGTGTCAGCATCCTCTTCAGTTCTCCCTATCCTGACACTCAAATATCCACCTGAACATCTAGATCCCATCTAGGCCTACAGCAGCAAAAAGGATGGAGATCACCGAGATCCAGAGTGAGTATCCTACTTCCCCAGTCTGGAGGGTGGATAGGAATTACTTGGCCAAATACGAGTTAATTCAGGAAGATCTGCCTAATCAGATCTTCTCTTTGCCAGCTCACCTCCCTTTTGAGGTTATGTCAGCACAACCTCTGCTTCTAGTGTGACACTGGTGACAGCTTCACTGGCATAATTTTTGGTTTTGTTTTACTGATAGTTAGAGAATGTGATCCTGGCAGAAAGATATCTTTTTGCCTCTATTCCAAGAGGACTAGAGCCAGGTGCTTGCAGTATAATTGTGAATGGGCAGGAAACATTGCTGCTACATTTATTTATATTCCGCTGTTCCCGGTGACTGGGGCTCAGCTCAGCCCTGACAGAGGGTGTGTTTTTTTAAAAAAATGGGCAGTGTAAAAATGAAATAAATAAACAACTATAACGAGATACCTGAAAGCCATTAGTGAACTACTAGCAAGGGTGAGAAATTCATTCAGTGCCACTTTTTAATGTGAACCCAGAGAATGTGCACTTCTCAGACCTATCAAAGAACTAGAAGGCACTGAAATGGTGACACTTGCAGTTTTCCTAATGTTGAAAGACAGTTCAAAAATACAACACTGTACAGAGAAATACATCCAAAGATTCTTATCAGGGAAGGAATTCCATCAAAAATTCCCATGGGAGGCAAAATGCACAACAAGATATGTATAACAAGGGGAAGTGTGAACAAAAATATAGTATTTTTGCAAAATTATTTGCAAAAGCTTATACTTTAGAAAAGAATGTACAAAAATGTCAATAAACTTGAGAAAGGTGGACAGAAATACCCAAACTGATAGTGGGACAGAATGAATGCAAATGCTGGAAAAATGAGAAATTGAACAGAATTGTACTTGGCAGGCACAATTGTTCAAACAGACCACAGACAGGGAGTAAGCACTGAATCTAAACTGTGAAGGAAGGAGGATCTCCAGGCTCTTGGCAGAGCTTTTGCTTGGGTACCTACTCACTGTCGGCTGATGTGTGGCCTAACAGGATCCTTCAAAGGGACATGGCAAGTGTGTTGAGGAGAAACAGGCCAACTGAATTCTTCATGCTGCAGTGACATTTGATTCCGACAGTCACTGGAGGAAACTTCTGCAGCCGATTGGTTAAATACTACCAGCCCACTCACCTCCTCAGTGTTTACTGGCAGCAGCCCATGCTGGTAAAAACCCAATGCTGACTGAAGAATGCTAGTGGTTTCCTATGATGGATCCAGTGCCAGTTCTGGGTTTCAGAGGGCCTTTGAGTGGGGCGCCCTCAGTAGCAAGCCTTCCCTCAGGAAGTCTACCTTCTTTCCAGCTCCTGCTTCTGCTCCTCTTCCCCAGAATGGCTATCTCCTACTTTCTTGTGAGACAGAGAGCCAATGGCACATAGGAAATAGCATCTGTTCATCCTCCATCACACCACTAGCATTGTCTGAGCTAAAGCAGGAGGAGAGTGAATGAACAGGTCCAGTGTAAGAGCAGGTCTAGGAGAGCTCTTATCTGTGGGTGCTCTGCTAGAGCATGTGCCCTTGGTAGATGGATAATCATGCCAGCTCTTAACATCAGCCCTTAAGAACCTATGCCTGGAGTTGGGGGCTGGCTGGCTGGAGAAAAACAGATGGTAAAGCTCAACATGGACAATATATGGCCTAAGAACCCAGCATCCGAGACCTGGATATTAAATGTGACCAAATAAATCCAGGCACATCTGAAAACCATTTTTCCCCTGGTTGTTTACTGCATTCAGTGCTGTTCTTTTCTGGCTTTTTTTTTTTTTTTTTTTGCATCCAGTTTAACCTATATGCAATCAGCACTCAGTGGTTGGTTCTGCAGATTGCGCAGTGTGATATCCTAATATATTCCACTCCTCTCTGGTTGAGAGGCTAACAAGGAGCTGTGAAAGGAACTGAAGAGTACTCCATGATGGCCAAGCTACTAGAATACACATCTTTGATCATTTTTGTTTAGGAGATCAACTCAAGCATAGCTAAAGGAGTTAGAACATGGAAGGTGAAAAGTGTCTCCATCCTGGGAAGGACAATAAAATCTGCATCATCAGATGTGAAGAATGAAGTACTTGTTTGTTGATTAAATATGTAATGAAGGGGAATAGATGGCACATCTTGGCCATTTTGCCTGTAATGCAAAGACCTTTCCTTCCTGGAAATTAAACTCAAGCCTCTGTTTGCTTGCTTAATATAATTTTAAAAAATGATTTCTTATTTTCAGCAAATGGCCCCAAACAACATACAGTAAAACAGTTACAATATGATCAAATAGCAAGAAATAGTTAAAAATGAAAACAAAATAGAAAACAAGCACAATGACATCAGGAGAATGAATAAGAACACATATTGGTTTGGAGAATGCAGCTTATTCCAAATTAAAGTCCTGCCCAAGCAAGTGTTAGGTTCCAAAAACTGCTAGGCTGGCCTCCCAAAGGAGGAAATTCCACAGTCTTGGCACCGGCACCAGAAAGCCAGACCTGCATATTCTGCTTCAGTGGAACACAGAGCAGGGCATCCCATCCAGATCTCAATGTGAGAGCAGCTATTGTGAGGTCAAAGCAGCAGAACCTTCTTCCTGAGCTAAGCTGCAAGTGATCCTTGCTCCCTCCAATTGGGGTTCCATTCAGACTGCTGAAATTCTGATTACCTCCATTTCATTCGTTGCAGAGATTGGTGTGGGGCTTGTTGGATTTGGAGTATTCTTTCTCCTTTTTGGAGTGATGCTGTACATGGACTCAGTGCTTTTGGCCTTTGGAAATGTAAGTTTCTGCTAAAGCCCCATTCACTTCTCTCCAAGGCAAATAATAAACTTTTGTTTGTGGTCATATGAAATATTAGATTGCTTACTCAGAAAGACCTCAGAGCTTCAGTAAACATCCTTAAGCTCTTCAAGGATCACTATGGAAGCTTAGACAGAAAAATTGGATGTGAGCTGTAGGCTGTCTACATTTCCATAAGACTGCACCCCAAGTGTGCCTTATAAAGAACTTCCGTTCTGATTCTAAAGCACATTTATTGAAAGTAGGTTCTATCTATATTTTCTATCTCTTGCTTCCAAGCTGATGGTTACCATCTTGAGCGTTTAATCATAAGAAAGAAACTAGCAATGTTAGAATTCAGGATAATGCACCATGTACGGTTCAATGTGGTGAGAGGAAGGGTGCAAGAGGATGGATGTAGGACACTAGAGCAGCTGAGGAAGACAATGTGCTTGTGGTTGTGCTGCAGGCACGGTAATGCAGCACCCAGGGCACAAGAGAGTCCTGGAAGCTACTTGCATTGCTGTAGCAAAGAGCAGCAGTGTCGGGAAGCCTTTTATGCTGGTCCCCAGGGCTTCTGCACTGCATAATGGCTCCTCGGGTGTTCCCTGCAAAGATGCTCCTGGTTCTACAGGCACTCGCAGGGTCACTCAGGCTCTGAACCTGACACTCTGGTCTTTGGGGTACCAGGTGAAGGCCTTTGCATGTTCCCAGACTTTTTCAATCATTCTACTGCTGTTGGCTTTTACTCTTGTTTTAGCTTTGGTCAGGTTTGTTTTCAATATGCAGTCTTTATATTATGCTTTCCCACATGATTGCATGTTTCTGTTTTAAGGGGTTTGTGAACCATGCAGCAAGCTTTGGCTATTGGGTACTATAAAAATGTAACAAGCAAGCCCAAATAACAAATGCAAAACTAACCTTGAGGATTGTCCTCCTCTCCCCTAGATCCTGTTCCTGTCTGGCCTGGCCATTATCATTGGACTAAGAAGAAGCTTTACTTTCTTCTTCCAGAAGCAGAAGCTTAAAGGAACCAGTTTCTTTCTGGGAGGCATAGTTATCGTCCTGCTGAAATGGCCTCTCCTGGGCATGCTGTTGGAGGCCTATGGCTTCATTAATCTCTTCAGGTGATTAATCCTGCTGCGATGCTTCCATCAGAAACTGCTTGGGATCAGGCCAGGATTGCGAATAGTGGCATGGGAAAAGACTTGAAACCTCCAGCTTCTCTTTCCTGTAATGCACAGGTGGGGAACTTCTTTCAGTGTGTTGGCCAAATTTTGGAGAGGCTCTGTGGGGACTGCATTCCAGGGCTAGCCTGGACCTGCGGTAAAGGGGGCAGTCAAGAGGTGGGGCAGAACACAGAAATGCCTACATATGCTAATTTAAAGGATTTACTGTCACTAACTCAGCCTTAGGAGAGGAATTTCAGTCTTTCAGAATGGGTGGAAATTGCTCAAAATATGGGCAACCACCAGTTGGGAGAAAAACGGTAGGGCCAAGGGATGGTCAGAATGATCCACCAGCGCTGGACCCTTGCCAGTCCCTGCCAGCCATGTGGTCTGGGAAGCAGAAGCACTCTGAAAATACAACCTCAACCCTCCCATATTATTTCCACCCTACTGGATTCCAAGGGCATAACTAGATGAAACTATGGAGATCCATGCCTGGATCCCACCTCCTCAAACCAGAAGTGAGAAGATCAGTTTGTCAGTCCCAACATCCAACACAGGACACGACCACCCCAAAATCACACAGATATCCACACACAGCTGCACTGGGCTTTTAAAAGTCTTAATTGGTGTCAATGAGGGTTCCCCCCTTTTAGAAAACCCCATAGGGTGCAGAATTTGAGGGACAAAACAATTTGGAAAATGTTAATTCTCCCCCCTGGTCCTGACTCAAATATTGGCTGTGTGTAGTTACGTTAAATTAAAAGCAAACAGCCACATTCAAGCTGCATATTCTGCAATTCGTGCAACATGCAAGGTAGCCCTCAGACACGACGTATAAGCAGGGTGAGATTATATGAAAATTTCTCTTCCCACTGATTTCTTCCTAACAGCCTATTTCTTTCCCTAGAGACTTTATTCTTAGCCAGGACCATTCCCAGTACTGCATTCTAAGATGGAAGAGAGTTTCTTGCAAATAGGAGCAGTGGGAAAACAAGCTAGGAGCTGTGGGGAGGGTTTTGCACGCCATCCCTATATTCCCCTCTTGCATTTAAAATCAGAGCACACACACCCCTTTCTGTGAGGTTGGGGCAGTTGCATACTTCAGCCCACAGACCTGATGCTGTCATGCCTGATTTTCAGCAGTGATTAACAAAGCCTTCTTTGTCCTCAGGAATTTTTTCCCAATTGCCTTTGGATTTCTGGGATCCTTTGTGAATATACCATTTTTGAGCAAGGTAATGAAAACTTTGGGGAATCATGCTAACCTTTGGGAAAAGGAGGTCTCTAGCTGGGGGGCTTAGCAAAAGAAGCAAGCAACTATAGTTACTGAGTAAAGGTATATGGTAAGCTAGTCAGACATTCCAACTGTTGCAAACCAATAGACTTTCTAAATTACATTTTTCCTTGCTCTAGATAATAGTGCACGTATTCCTGATGTGAAAACCTAGTTCTATTGACTGGTCTTGAAAGTGCTTAACATGTTTGTTCCCTTAACCAAAGTCTCCTCTCAGTTTAGATGTGTCACTTTCCAGGTAGTGATAGTGTTGGGCAAGATTAGGAAACTGTAGCATTACAGCTTTGAACTTCTCTAATTGATGTAGAGCCAGGCTATCCCAAGCAAAATTTCTTCACCAAACAAATGGTGCTGTCCACTAGGCATTTTTCAAACAGACTGGAGTTTTCTTCTTTCAAAAGCAAGTAGATCATCAGCCCATTACATCTCTGACCCTTACTGCAAATTTTATGATACTTCTGATTTTATCACTTCCATTTCCTTCAGGGCTTGGTAATCTGCTGTCTTCCAGAACTTTTGGACTACAACTTCCATAATCTATGACCACCAGACTTTCTGGGGCTTATGCAAATTGAAGCCCAAAACATCTGAAGGACATCAGGTTGCCTACCATATGGACGGACGGACACACACACACACACACACACACACACACACATATAGAGAGAAAGAAGATAGATTGATAAGAATGACTTTTTGTTGCAGCTGTTCCAAAAACTTGGAGACCCTGGTTCCAATGTGTAGCCTGGATGAATGGTCTGTTACCAGATGTGACTTGCCCTCTTTCAAGAAAAGGGACCCTTTTATGAATAGCCTGTTGTCTTCACAGTGATGTATAATGTTCATATATTTAAGTGTTTTCATGTGACTGCTTGCAGTAATACGTGAGGTTTGGCAGATTCTTATTCCAGTTATTCCAGCAGGAATTGTCTGGCAGAAATGTTGATGGTAAGAATAGTTATAATTTTATAAAGGTTAGGTGCCACAAGTACACTTCTATAACTTGGTTAGATATGACTTGTTACTTTAACTTTGCTATTTCCCTCTCTCTCACTCAGTATGTAATGCTGCCACCAGGAATTTAACTCCAATCATATTAATTAACCTCTTCCTCAATATTGCGCCCAAGTTCTAATATGCCTTCGTTGGCCTGTGTGGTCCTGAGAATGTGACACTGGTATTCAAACAGCTTATGACTCTGGACTAACAATAAACAAAATAAAACTTTATTCGTACTACAAGCATATTGGCTTCAAGATGTTTAGTAACTTATTTCATTTGTAAATAAAATATTGTATATTAAATATAACTTCTGACTGTGGTAATCTCTTTCCCTTCACAATCACTTCTCACTCTCAAATCCTCCTTTTCCTTCTGATGTTCTTTGACCAGTCTTTCTTCTATTTATCTCAGTTCTATGTGTTCCTTATCTATTTATTTCCCTCCTGCATTCAGGTTTCTGCCAGCTTCTATCTCTCTCACCCTTATAATACTTGACAATATTAGGTTTTGACTCTCCCTAGTTGCTAATATGTCCTCCAGGTATTCTACTTCCTTCTCCTTCCTTTGAATCTTAAATGCCTTTCACAGCACTATATGAGATTCTAATGAGAAGGCGGCATCTTCATATTCTGCAAACAGCTAACTGACCATAACTCTGACTGTTAACTGCTGACTGACTGAAAGTATCTATTTCTCTCCTCACACACTTCCAAACTCTACCCATACATTCTCAGTCACCAATCAATCACCTCACTCACTCATCCCCTTCTTTTACCTCCCTTGCTGTTCTGAAACTTACCAACATTTAAAGGACAAACTCGTAACAGTAGCGATCTCACATTTTAGTGCTTGTCCATATACCAGTAGCTGCATAACATTTTACTGGGATATAGGAACTACCACAGAGTGAACGATGGGCATCTATACCTGGACACCGGTTTATTTTGTCCCTTGTAGCATGTGGGGAAACAGGTTCTGTAGGTTTTTGAAGCCCTATAAAAACCTGGAGACCCTGTTTACCAGTGATAACAGTGGAGTAAGTGTACTCTCCAAAGGCAACAGTAGATCAGATCACATGTAACAATATCCCATGGATAGTTTAAACCATGGGTTGTTTGGGCCGTAAAGGAGCAAGTAGGAATGCAGGCTCCTGCCCTCTGGCTACTTTGCATCCAGTTTTGCAAGCAACTCAGGAATGCCCAAATCCTATGTTGTTTAGCAAGCTATCTGAGTTGTTGAGGGGGAAATAGCCCAAAGCTTTAACCCTTGATTTGTGGTTCATATTGTTTCTTTGTTGGATTGTTTGAGAAAGTGGGTGAAAAGTGGAAACATCAAATGTATGTGAAGCAACACACTCATTCCAGTGTGGCCCCACTTAGTCATTGGTTAAAAAACCCATGAACTGATGTTTTGTGCAAACCAAATCATGCCTCTTCCATACCACTTTCAAATTTCTGCAGCCTCCAGGAAATATAAAAATGAATATAGTAATGTATTATAAAATTTGGAATTTCAGAAAAAAGTTCACTGGAATAAACTTTTTAAAGTCCAGTTCACAGAAACACTTTAATTGCTGGGACACTTTCACAATTTGTCTTCCTTTTCTGGGCAAATTCAGCAACTGAAAGGAGAAATAATTAAATATAGGGATGTGAAATGGTATTATGGCTTTTCTATGTATTTCAAAATTTTTGACAAAATAAATGCATCAGTGGAAGGTTTTTAAAATAACACATAGTTTAAAAACACACAGTACAACTCTATATTTTTTTAATCTATGCTTTGTTTAACATGGACATTTGCTATTATATAAATGTATCAACATGTCACAGGTATGTGTATGTTTTGCTTTACATGGCAATTAACAGTTCCAGTGAGGCAACTGAGTTTGGAAAAAGCAGTACTGGGGTGGGCGACTTGATGCTGAATGCACAAGTATATAAATATATCATCATGTATATATCCTTCCATTTTGAAGTTAACACTTCATGTATGTGACAAAGCGGACAGTGTCCAGGAATACACATGCCAGAATAAATTTATTAGCCATTAAGTGTCACAAGACTCTTTCTTGTTTTTGCTGCAACACACAAATACAGTTACCCTTCTGAGAACTGTTACAAATACTGATTATAGAAATATCAATAAAACAACAAAATCCTATTACCATAAAACTGTTAAAACATAGCAATAATAATCTATCAGAGAAGCTCATAAGTCAGAAGCTGAACACCTTTGTGAAGGTATTTAGCTTACATTTAAAATTATTCACAGTGGGGTTAAGTGCACCTTTCCTGGAAGTGGGCTTGACAAACGGGCGATCACCACTGATATCCTCTGCCTCACCTCCCCACCCTCCTCATGCACTCCCAATAAGCAATTTCTGCTAGTTTTATGTTTGGGGAAAATCCATGAAAAATAAGCCTGGCAAACTAGAGAGACCAGTGGTCTGACTGTATGACGCTGTGGAGGTCTGGTTCAGAAAGGAGAGGAGATGAAGGCCGTAAGGATAGCAAGAAGTGTTGATGTAAGCGGTACCTTAGTCGGTGCTCTTATCACCTCTGCTGGCAGCTGCCATCTTTAGCCAGAAAAGGAAGAGCAACCAACGTTCACAATAGTAGCAGTAATGGCCAAAGGTCATCCACACATACATGGTTTGTCATGTTAGGAGTACAGTACATTGCTATTAAACTGAAAGAGTAGTAAAGTGGCCAATATGTTCATTTAGAAAGGAATGACCATAGACTTTGCAATGGATAACCATTACTTTGAAACGATTGATGCTACAGAAGGTAGGTAGGTAGATATTTTTTGAAGTAACCCAGGAAGAGAACTCATCACGAGGATCTGCCTTCTGGAAAAATGTTGCCCTCTAGTCCAACAATAGACATCCGAACAGATGTCAGACTGACTGATACCAGTTTGGATACTGGGCTTTCTGAATCCAGGCCACAGCAGGCACTTATGTCTGAGCAAACATCCATAGGATTGCACAGAGAGGCTGCAAAAATGTGCACATTTCTGTGGGAGTAAAGCTCCTGGGATTCAGTGGGACTTACTTCTGATTAAACTTGCCTAAGTTTAGACTTAACCGCTATGGGTTTTGTTTTGTTTTTTCATTCCAGAAGAGGTGTATTGCTTTTTAAATGCAGAAATGTGTCCATCCACCCACCAACCACTCAGACATGTATTTTACTTGTATAGAAGGAGTTTATAAATAGTGCAGAGACAGGATTACTGTTTAAGTTTGCAGTCACACAGTGGGGCTCTCAATTTAAAAAAAGAAAAGAAAAAGGGGAGAGAGAAAGAAGCAGTAGTTGGAGAACAGCATCACTTTCTATTGTGCATTTTTGTCCCCCTCTTGTCTCTGGTTAAGCAGGTCTGGCAGGATTTGAAAAGCCTGCAACACCTATTTATCAGTTATGAAAGTGGGAGAGTTCATACCATAAGTGGCAATCTTATTTTCCAGCTTTAAACCTCTTCAGAACCCAGGCATACACACATGATCATATTATTGTCTGACTTTAACAATAATCCGTGTTGGTTCTGAACAGTTTATATCTGAAAAATGTACATTCCCTTTCTCTAAACTTTTCCACTTAGTTCAGCTGGAAACAGCAAATTGAAAAGCACATGTGGAATCATTGCTTAGGTAAATTTTACAGGGGAAGGTGGACCACTGAAAAATGCTCTTTGAGTGCATCTCTCACTCACTGACTCACTGAGTCTGTGACTCACAGCAATTACAGCCAGCCTGTGGGTGAGGTCAGACCTTATCAGCATGCTGCCTGGTTGTTTAGTATTGATAATGTGATTAGTGTTTTTGTGTCTGTGGGTGCTTATGAGAATGTATGGAGCTTTGGCAGATAACAATTACAATTACGTGTGTAGATGTATTTAAATGTGGAGGCTGGTCATGATTGATTACTGTGGTCGCAACACTGAATCAGTTCAGGCAGGACAGATGGGGAGTCTAGGTTGGCTGATAACTCTGATGGCATAGCAAGAACCATCTGCTACATCTAAACTTTCTCCTTAGCATTCCAGTGGTTCAAGTCCAGTCTCTCCTCTGGTGCCATACTGGGTCTATTCACATGAGCTGGAGAAACCAGGAAGAACCTTGCTGAATGGGAGAGAATTCTGCTATGGCAGGGATGGAATAGATTAGCTAAGAACCTGATCGTACCTTTTTCTTTCAGAAAGGTGCTAAACCCTGGGAGTTGGTGTACTCATCATGCAGGTAGGAGGCAAACTTCTTAGCCTGAGTTCTCCACCTGCAACATGAGGATAATGAGCCAGATCAAGCTTGTAGCCCTGCTGTATGAATTGAAAAGAGAAAGTATATGTTGGTATTCTTAACTGTTTAAAGTGTAGCTTCAAAGATAAACAATTTTAATATATTCAAGCATACAAGCTGAGAAGAAAGCAAACCTAAGGCTCTTGACGAGACAGGAAGACATTACTTTAGGAAAAGTAGTAGTAGTTGTTGTTAGTCATGTCCGACCCATCACGACCCCATGGACAACATTCCTCCAGGCCTTCCAGTCCTCCACCAACCCCCGGAGTCCACCTAAGCTCACACCAACTGCTTCAGTGACTCCATCCAGCCACCTCATCTTCTGCCGTCCCCTTCTTCTTTTGCCATCTATTGTTCCCAGCATTAGGCTCTTCTCCAGGGAGTCCTTCCTTCTCATTAGGTGGCCAAAGTATTTGTGTTTCATCTTCAGGATCTGGCCTTCCAAAGAGCAGTCAGGGTTGCTCTCCTGTAGGACTGACTGGTTTGATAGCCTTGAGGTCCAAGGGACTCGCAGGAGTCTCCTCCAGCACCAAAGGCCTCAATTCTTCAGCTCTCAGCCTTCCTTATGGTCCGAGAAAAAGTAGTAGGGTTTCTTATATTCCTCTCTTTTTAAATAAAAATAGGGAAGTGCTCCTGCACTACTGGGGAGAATGTTTATTACAAATCAGAAGCAGCTTCTCATCACTCACCCTGACTATCCATAACAAGCACAATAAGCTGACTGTGTCTTAAGAGCTCTAAGCAGACAATGCCCACTGCCTGTATTCCTCTGCACAAGGGCAATACAAATAATTATTAATCTGATGGGAAGAGTGATCCTATAGCCATCAGCCATTACCTTGAGTGGCAAAGGATACTTCGGATGCCTAGATCCTAGGCCGGAGACAGCATTCCAGGTTCTGAGCAGGGAATCCCTTCCCTCAACCATCACCAGAGCAGAAAAACCATGCTGGCTGCCTCTCCAAGGTCAAGTGAGGCAGGACAGGACCTTGGAGAGAGAATGA